CTGCAGCTTACCTACCCAGTTACCAGCCTCAGGGCAGGGCTGCCACCTCCCACTTGGATGGGCATGAGTCACCCTTTCCATCGGCAGCTCTCAGCGAGTTTCTAAAATTAGGAGGCCCTGCCCAAGCCTCCTTTCTGTCCGGCAGCTCCGGCTCCACCCCACACTTCAGCCTCCTGCAGGTGGAGGTCTGGGTCTCCCAGCTGTTTCCCCAGAGAGGAGTGGCCTCCAAGCTTCCCCGGAGGGAAGGCTCAGACCGGGCTGACCACTGTGGGCCTCCGGCACAGTGTCTGGGGTCTCTGCCAAGCAGGGAGAGAAGGCCCTGAGCTGAACAGGTAGCGAGGGCCCTGAGGTGGAACCCGAACCCTGCGAGTCAGCACACCCAGATTCTAGTCCCAGAGGCAGGAGGGCTCAGCGTGGACAAGTGTGGACACTGGAGACAGCCCCAGCTCAAGCGGGCTACAGGACCTTAAGCCAGTTGTTTATCCTCTTGGAGGATAAGAATTATGATCCCTACCTTATTTGGTTGTTGTAAAGATTATGCATACGCTTATTCCGAGTCTCAGTTTCCTTATCTGTACACTGGAGATAAGTGTGTCTACCTTGTGAAGTTAGTTTGAGGACTAAGTAAAGCAATACTGGAAAGCACTGAGGACAGCAGCTAATAGGTGGTAGGCAGTAAGTGTTAGCTGCTGTTACTGTTACTGTCCTAGATAATGACGGGGGGCTCTCTAAGGAAATGGCATTCACGCTGACATCAGAACAATGTGTAAGAGCTGGCCAGGCATGACTGGGGGCAAACCTGCTCCAGGCAGAGCTAGCACATGTGCAAAGACCCAGGGGAGGGAGGAGGACCCTTGACCTGCTCCCGGACAGGCGGCAGGACCTTGGCAGGTGGCTGTGGGGAGAAGGTGGTGGAAGCAGGGAGGCCAGTGGGGAAGAGACTTCTGCAGTGGTCCTGGTGAGAGAGGGTGATGGTGGTGAGCGATTTGGGGAAATGGGGACACGGCATTGACAGGACTTGCTGATGGGCTGGATGGGAGGTGGTCCCAGCGGGGAGGAGCGAGCCAAGTGTGACACCCCGGTTTTGGCTTGTGCAGGCGGGAGGTGGCTGTAGCATTTGCTGAGGTGGGCTCAGCAGAGAGGAACAGGTCGGGGGGATGGGGGAGGCTGCAGGGTCCGTGTTGGATGGCACAGTGGGCAGTGGAAGGCCCAGGGCTGCAGCTTGAAGCCGGGGGGTGGAGGGGCACTGGCCGGGAGGCACCAAGGAAATGGATGGAGCTGGCGGGGAAGGCGCGAGACTGAATCCGCCGCAGAAGTGCAGAGGGCAGCCCGCTAAGAAGCAGGGGGCACGCGGAGAGTGAGGTGTCCCGGAGTCACGGGAAGGGCATCCGAGGTGAAGCACCACACATGACATTGTCGGGGGGGGGTGCGGTGAATGACCCCAGAAAGGAAGCACTGTCGTAGGGAGGGCTGGGTGCATTCCAGGTGACGCAGTGGGCCAAGGACTCCTGACTTTGCACACTGCTGTCTTCTGCCCCGTCCTGTGCTGCGCCGCTCGGGCCGACGCTTTGGCCTGGGTGGGAGAGGTGCCCTTACCTCCCCTCGTCTGCTTAGAACGGCCAACAGCTCCTAGCTTGGTGTGGAATGTACCCCTCAGCACCTGCGCCGCCAACTGGGGAGGCTGGGGGCCCCTCAGAGACATGAGGCGTGATACCCGCCCCCCACCTTGTCCTGCAGGAGGTGTTCCGTAGAGAACAAAAGAGCAACTCCATGAAGACATGGGGCCTGCGGGCCGCTGGCTGGATGGCCATGTTCATGGGCCTCAACCTCATGACCCGGATCCTCTACACCCTGGGTAGGTGTGCGGAGACAGGTCGGTGGGTGGGGGGGTGGTCCTGCTCACCCTCCTGCAGCCCGTGTGCCTTCTCCACTTCTCACACCGCCCCTAGCCCTTCCCGGCCTGCTGCAGTGATCCTCGGGGCAGAGACCGGGCATTTGGCCATGTCCGTGTCCCACTGCACGGCACTGGGATGAATGGGCCGAGGAAGGCAGACACGAGAGACAGGTGCTTCAGGGGTGGGGGTGGCGGTGCCAGCTCCTAGGAGGGTGATCTAGGCCTTGTGATCTGAGGGTCTGGTCCGTCTGGCCCTAGCTCTCCTGCTCCTTCCTAGCCCTTCACTCCACGAGTGAGTGGGCACGGCGAGGAGACTAGCCAGCCTTTTGAGCCAGACCCAGAATCGGTTACATCAGAGCTCTGGACACCTGGGCCGTTCCCTTTCCTGTCTCAGCTTCAGTTCCTCACATCTCATGGGCAGAGTTTTGTGAATGTTTGGCAAATAGGAAACACCCCCAAACCATAATGCTTCCCTCCCCCACCCCAAGACCTGGGCTCGATTTGGGGCAGCCAACAAGTTGGAGCACAAGGCAGAGTGCTGGGCCGCCCACTTGGCCTGGTCGGCACCCGTGAGCCCAGCAGTTGCCAAGTGACCCAACCTGGCGTTGGACCGAGGCCCCGGGTGGTTGAGTAAGTGCTGGCCCCACACTGTTGAAATAAGCCTGAGCCGGCCCCCCACCTCAAGGATTTCACTGGCTACTGGCCCAGTATGGTAAAGAACAGTACCAGCCTCCCTGAGCAGGCACGAGCATTTGAGGAGATGGTCCACATAGTGCCCGATGCATGTCAATGCACAAAATCCATCTGGACTTACACTGCATGGCGCATCTCAGGGGACTTGCATGCAAGCCTTTACCTCATCCGATGATTGCGTCCAGCCTGTGCTGGGCCCCACAGAAACCTCTGCCCCATTTACCCTTTCCCGCTGGGGAGAGGTCTGGCCACAGTACCTCCCAGGCTAGGAGGGAAAAGCACAGTTCCTCCCCTCCAAGGCTTTCTCTGGGCCGCTGAGTTGGGCTCAGAACAGCCAGCCGCATCTTGCGCACCATTTGGGAGATCAGAATCTGATCAGAATCCTCCATCTTCCCTTTGCACTGAGCCCCTCCTGGCTGTGTGACCTTGGGCAGGCCTTTTCCCCACTCGGAGCCTCATCCCCTATCGTGGGAGTCCGGCTCAGAGGGCCCTCTGATTCTCTCCTCATCTGGAACGCTGACGCTCAGACCCAGGACAGATGTCAGAGCGCAGAGGGGTCAGAAGTGCAGGTGGGGTGACTGGGGAAGCTACAAGACAGAAGCACGCGTTCACTCCTCTGTTCGGGCAGTAAGTTCTTATTGAGTGCCTGCTGTGTGCAAGACCCTGCTCTCGGCCCTGGAGACTATGTGGTGAGCAGGACAGACAAGGTCCCTGTCCTCTCAAGGCTCAGAACCATGGCTGAGAGCTCAGCTCTGGGCTCATACCGTCTTGGGTTTAAATCCTGGCTCTGGCACTTTCTAGCTCCAGGACATTGGGCAAGTTGAACTGCCTGGGCCTTGGTGACCTTGTAGGTAAAATGAGGGTAAGAACAGTACCAGCCTCCCTGAGCAGGCACGAGCATTTGAGGAGATGGTCCACATAGTGCCCGATGCATGTCAATGCACAAAAACAGAACTCTGCTTATTAGGGGGGCCAAGGTGGGCAATATGTGGGAACAGACCAAGATGAGCCAAGAGGTGGCCTGCAGGGTCCTGTAGTCATGGCAGGGCAATAGGCCTTGCTCTGCAAACCCAGTGGCAGCAGACCACTGGGGCCTCCTAGAACTGAGGGAAGGTTCCCCCCACGGACTGACGTCAACTACGGGATGCCAACCTGGAGGGGGTAGACAGGCCAAGGACAGTGTAAGTCCGGATGGATTCACTGGATCCTAGACTTTACCATATTGGGCCAGTAGCCAGTGAAATCCTTGAGGTGGGGGCCGGCTCAGGCTTATTTCCCTCCGCCCTGCACAGAGCTGGGCACAGAGGTAATTGGTAATGACTTGAGTGAACAGACACCTCCAGGAATGGCCGAGGAGCCCAAACAGGCACCCCCAGAAGGTTCTGCCCAGTCTCCTTTGTGAGTGTGCAGCAAATGGAATGTGCCACCATCACGGGCAGCTGTCTTCTATTGGCCTCAGACTGATAGCAACATCCATAGTTTTAGGGGCGACAGGGCACTTCCACCGGCCTGCTCCCGGGAGCAGGGCGAGGGGCGAGGGGCGCACGCCTTACCTGCGTCCTCCAGCTCTCACAGGAGGCTGTTTGCCTTCCGCCCCGAGCCCTCTCCTGTCCCGGACCAGGCAACACGGGCCCATCCTCATCTACAGACGGGAATGATCTGCTCACCTCTGTGACACAGAGCGTGGTGGCCTCGGAAGCCTCACCACCTTTCTCTTCCTCACAGTGGACTGGTTCCCTGTCTTCCGAGACCTGGTCAACATCGGCCTCAAAGCCTTTGCCTTCTGCGTGGCCACCTCGTTGACCCTGCTGACCGTGGCGGCCGGCTGGCTCTTCTACCGGCCCCTGTGGGCCCTCTTCATTGGCTCTCTGGCCCTGGTGCCCATCATCATTGCTCGGACGCGGCTGCCATCCAAAAAGCTGGAGTGAATCAGGCCCCGGCACCCGCCCCACACCTGCATGATCCTCAGGATCCAGCTCCTTCCCCCGCCCTCCCCTCCCCCCAGCCCCTCTTGACCTCGAGTCAGTTTGGGTTCTGCTCCTGCTCTGCTCCTCAAGGGGCCAGACTTGGCAGTGTGCATGGAGGTCAGGTTTGGTGTTCACCGGGTCATGTCTTCCCCACCCTTTTGCTTGCCAGCAGGCGGCTCTGAAGCGCAGAAGGCAGCTCCCGTCTGGTGGTGTGACAGGCCTTCTCCTTGCTTCCTTCCCTTCTCTTGGGACCGCGTGTGGCCGGTTCACGTGTTTCGCTTAGCTGAAGTCTGCACACAGGGAGCTGGTGACACTCCGCACAGAACTGCTGCCTGGTCACTCACTGTCCCTCCTCCTTGGAGACAGGTGCCAGGGCTCTGCCCCAGCTGCCACCCACTCTGTGAGCCCCCGGGGCCAGCGTCCTCAGCTGTCCCTGAGCAGTGCTGAGCACCAGGACGGACTAAGCGCGCAACCCCCCACACACGGGCGCCACACACCCAGCCTGGGCACAGAACCTGCCTTGGTGCTTAAAAAAGAACACCACCACTGAGGTCACTGGGAGCAAAATTGGACATTTGGTGGGCCTAACATGGATTTTATGGTTTGGCAAGAACCTGTTCGTGTGTAGGACTTCCAAAGGTCCCGTCGGTTATGTTTGCCTTTGTTACACTTCATGGGTAAGCTACCCGAAGAAATTTAAAATCTTTAAATTTCAAGATTTAAAGAAACAAAGCACTGCTTGAATGATGAGCAAATCAGACGGTTACAGAAAAACTCCCTGTAATCTGTCCGTTGAAGTTAATTCAGGCACAGGAAGGTATTACACCAGGGTGTGACGTGCTGGCTTAAAAAAAGTTACCTCTGGCAGGACTCGGGGCCAGTGGGAGGCCTGAAGATGCTTCTGAAGCCAGTGTCAGCCAAGGGATTCCACTCTGGGAGGAGATGGGATTTGTACAAGGTGGAGAAAGGCATTTCCTCTCATCCTTTGGCTTCAGAAACTACCGATTTCCTTGAAGATGAATTTTGAGTTTTTAGTCAACCTTTAAGGAAGAGGCTGGAAGCTTTCTGATCCTAAGTGGGCTCCCTCAGAGTGACCCCCATCAATCTGAATCAGGAGCCGGAGGCCTGACCTGAGGCTTGTGCAGCTCTCGGGCCTCATTCCTTTCGTGGAGGGGTGTGGGGTGGGGGCTTTTGGGTTAGCCGCTGGGCCCCGGCACCTGCCTCTGAGTGACTCCTGTCACGTCCGCGTCTGCAGCTTCACTCCTACGTACAGTCTACCTGCACTTCACCCCGTCCCCTCTCACCCCCACTGAAAGAGCAAGTATGTTGCCACTTTGATGGTTTAAAAGATCTTTCCTGTACCCTTTATCTTTTTATGACTTGGACTTGTTCTGCCTGGCTGGGAGCGGCTACTTTCGCAAATTAGTCAGTGGCTGAGTAAGTGATCGGAACTCCTGAAACTAGCAGCCTGACAGTCTCTCGTTAGCCTGCGAGGTCTGTGGTGTGGCTTGAGATTCTTCACACCGACAACAGCCGGCCCCAGAGAGGACTTCTCTGGACTGAAGAACTGAAATAGTATTCACTCCTGCAGTTGTCACTGAATCTCTCAACTCTTAAAGGATGCTTCTGGAAATAAATACAACTAGGTGGTAGCTACATACAAAATCTGTGGGATGTGGTTTGTGTAACTTTTCCTAGTACAGATTTTAAATTACTACGAATTTCAATAGTGTTTTTAAAGGGCAAAAGAATGTTAAGAAATATTTGAAGTCTTTGGGAAACCATGAAATTTGTATTATCTTTGTATTTTTTGAAAAAATTCAAAATAAATTTCGAAATAGCTTTTACAGGACCTTGCCGTTACTCTTTTTTTTGAAATTTCTATCTTAAACAATTCAGCCGTAGAATTAAGAACTGTATGAATTTTTAGAATTCAGTTCTTAAGTAGCTTTTAGTGGTTAAAATAGGTTTCAATTTTTCTTAAAAGGGCAACTCGGTATTTTTAGCACTTAGAAGCCTTATCTACCAAAGCCCACTTAGTTTTGGATTGATTTAAAGGACTCAAACGTCCCCCAGCTTCAGAATGCGTCAGAGGAGGTGGCTGGAGCCACAGTGGGACATCGTGTGACACCCTCCCCCACCCCAGGCCTTAGGTTGGCACAGACCCGAGTTCCAGCGCCCAGCCGACCACGGCCTGGCTGTGTGACCGTGGCGAGTCTGCGATCTCTGGGTCTCAGCTTCCTCATCGTGAAAATGGCAGTGAAAATGGCTTTTGTCCCTACGGCGCCGCGGCAGGGACTCGATGAGCTCAGGCCCACGAAATGCCTGATGGACGGCCCAGCAGCTTTTCCCTTTTACCTCCTGTTCGGAAGCAATAGGCAGCTGCTGAGGGGCCACTCTGGAGCTGACAATTTGTGTACTTTCTGTGACAAGGTTTGAAGCAGGTGACTTCCCAAAACGGGCTCTGCCTTCTCAGACCTGAGGTTCTGTTCCATCACGCCTCCAATGAGCTGGTATCTGCCTGAAGGACAAGTTGCTGACTTCCAGGACAGAGTGTGCTCTGGCGCCGGAAGCGCGAGGCCCTGCAGTTTCCATGGCGACCCCGGTTGTTTCTCCACACCAGCCTCCCAGCCAAGCTCTCGCTGCCGATGAGTCACACCCCAAGTGTTCTGTTTGTTTCCCTTGGAGAGAACTGGCTCAGAGTTTTAATGGCTCCCGTCAAAGGTTAAGAAACAGCTCTCCTCACTTAAACACAGAAAAATTTCCATGTGTGGAATGAGGAGTTCCCGGTCTACCGGAGACCCAAACCTGGTCTTTAGTCTCAACACGCGCACAAATCACTCAGTCATGCAGGTGTTCTTAGCTGACCATAAATCTGGAAGAAAAGGCAGAGCTGAGTCTTTTTAGATAAATGTTTTATTTCTTCCTCAAAATGTTACAAAAGTTATTTCTCCTGAATTATCTACAATGCATAGAGCTTTTATAAACTTATCCATAATGAATAAAATCTAGCCGAACACTGATCCACTTTGACTAACATTTCTTTAACTCCCAGTGTTTTTCCTTTTCTTCCCTGATTTTAGCTCTTTGTTCCAGTCTTCTGCCACCCTGAAGCATCACTTCCAAAAAGGAGATCCCCCCCCGCACTAATCTGAGACGCCCGTCCTTCCCACCTGCTCCCCGCCACACCACGAAGGGGCAGCGTCAGGCAGGTCAGCACACCTGGCTGAGGGGAAAAGGCCTGGCCCGCAGAGAAAGGGTCCCACGTCTGCAGGAGAGGCAAAAGCACGAGGGCCTGACAGATGAAGAACTCACCTAGAAGAAGGGGCGGGGGCATTTCTAAATCGCCCAGTGGTTTCTGTAAAAAAACGGACTCACGTTTCCGAAGGTGGGCCGAGCAACGTCTAGGCGGCCAGGGAGTCTCCTGGGAAGTGTTCTGTGGCTCAAAGCATAGGGCGTGGGAGCGGACAGCTTTGAAAGCCCTACCCTGGGTCTATGTGACAAGGCCCGGGGCCAGCCCAGACCCATGACACCATCTCGGCTTGACCCCCCGGTCCCCTGGCCCTCATCCGTGGTGCACGCAGCTTCTGGGGCTTCTCAGAGGAGACGCCACCACCACCAGGGCCCTGCGTAGCACAGGGTGCGACAGGTGGCCACCCCCATCACAGCCTCTCAAAGGGGAACAGGTGGGAGGCCGCGGCCGCCTTCTCCCTCTTGGTCTTCTTAGGGCACTTTGGCTTCTGCTCTTCTTCAGCCTCTCGGTTTTGGGGCCAGGAGGCAGCCAGGATCTTCGATGCTTCTGCTTGAGAGCTGGTCCCCTCCTCTTCATCAGAAGAGAGTCCATCCCCGGCAGGTGCTTGGGGAGCTCCTGCCTCACTCTGGAGAGGGAGGGACAACGGCAGCCGGGAGTCAGCCATCAGATGGCAGGGAAACGCCGGGGGGCAGTCAAGCCCCCAGCAGCAGCCTGCCCTGAGCCAGTGACTCTGAGAGGACGGGGGCACCACGTGGGGCTGGGGGAGCCTCGCACTGGGGACTCCGCCAAGCAGGTACTGGAGAACTTGCTCTGGGCCCAGGGCTGGGAAACGCAGAGATGTTTACGCAGGAGACTGCCCTCAAGGAGCATACAACCCGACCTAGGAGATCCCAGGACTGGTGCTTTGCACTTCTTTACCTCACTTCTGCACAAAAGCGCACTCATGTCTTTAACTGCCCCGGACCAGCTCTCCTTGCCAAGTGCTCCGAGGGGACGCTCCCTGACGCGGGGCCAGCTGGGCTGGGGAGCTGGGCCTGGAGGGTTTGGCTGCGTGAGGTGAGAGCACGTGGGGGGACGGAGTCAACATAAAGCCTGGTGACAGGTCACCAAAGGGATGTGAGGGAGGAGTCTGACAAAAATAGTTTGCCACTTTTAAAGGCAAACTGGCAGCAGTTCAGGGTTGGAGACAGGGAGACAACAGGTGCGGTTTTGGCTGTTCCCAGAGCACATTTCTGTGTCTGACCCAATCCTGATCTCACCACACAGCTGCGTGGAGGGGCCTCTCTGCCCCTCTGGGAGCCCTTTGAGGACTGCATGTCAACTCCGCACAGGTTGGCCCAGACTGGGGCAGGTGCCCTGAAACATGACTTAAGTGAGCAACCCCAGGCCTGGAGGACGGCCACAGGCGCAGGGAGCCTGTCTCTCCCTGGATCGGTTTAGCATGAGATTAGACCCCTGCTTGTGGGGACAGGAGCAGGACAGGGACGTCGGGGTCGGGCTGGGGGCTGGAAGAGCCAGCTGAGGTGGACTCCAGGGACACCTTTCCCAACAAGGTTAGGACACAGATGTCTCAGAGACACAGGACTGTGGTGTCAAAACACAAGGCATCTCTGGGCAGAATCCGGGCCCACAGTTCTGGGTCCCCTTCTCCCACCTGGGCTTGTCTTCTTTCCAAAAGAGCCGCACTGACCTTGTCCCCATAGCGAAGCTTCAGCCTCTCCCGGATGAGCAGTCCCCTGACCAGCAGCTTCCAGTTCCCCAGGGCCCGCTTCTCTCTTTTCTGCCGGCAAAATGAAACGGAGAACACAAAATGTTGAGTACTGTCACTTTCAGGAGAAGTATCAAGATGGAATCTATGAACATATAAAGATCCAAAATAAGACTTTTTGGTTAAAAGAGTCCCTCAACCATGCCGAGTCTGTTTTAAAAGGAATGTGATTTATAAAGTGATGCACATAAAAGGCAGCAAAACAGAAGCCTCTTTTTAACTGGTAGCAACTCTAACATCTTCGAGGAGGAGGCTTGGACCACAGCAGTTCCCTTCAGCAGAAGCAGGCGTGGACGGCAGGTGCCGTAGCCCCCGGAGCCGGGGTCCAGTACCCGGTGGACACGGATGCTGGATGGTGAGGTGGAGGCAGGACCCTGTTTATCCGGGGCTGGCTCCCTAGGGTGCCTTCCGCAAAGTCCGAGAGCTGGAAAGAGCTTTGGGGCACGTGGCCTCTCCTGTTTTAACCCACCATCAAATGAGGCACCTGCCCCACCTGGGGGCTCGTGTTCCCCTGCCACTCTGCTTTCGCACCTCAGGCCCCCGCCCTGGCCAAACGGCTCACCTCCTTCTCCCGCTTCTCAATGAGCGCCTGCTCGTTCTCCCAGGCGGCCAGGAGCACGTCTTTGTATTCCTCGCAGACAATGTACCCGTCGGTTCTGTAAGCACGCAACGCGGACGGCTCACTTGAGGCTGCCGCCTGCTCCGGCCTCTGCTCTCCCTTGCGGAGGCCGGCCAGCGGCTCCCAGGCGCTCGGAGCCCTGAAGGCTTTCCGGCGTCAGGCGCCGTGATCCCAGCCACAGCCGCTGACAGCGCCCGGGCACCAGGCAGGCCTGTGGACTCTGGCACCGCGTCCTCCCCAGGCCCCCCGCCCTGGGCGGACAGAGGCCACCTAACCAGGATGCGTGCTGACCTTGCTTGCTCCCCCGCCCCCGCCCCCAGGAGACGGTTTCCATCTGGCATCAGGAGCATGCGGTTTCCCTGGTTTTGCTGCCTCTGCAGAGTCGCCAGAGTGAAAGTGTGGAAGTAAAAGGTAAAGTGTTATGGCTGACTTCGCAAATGCAGAGTAAAACCTGGAAAATGGCCTCAACCCGCACATGGACTTCCTGCCCCAGCCCTCCTGCGGCCGCCGGGGAAGGCCCCTCACGCACATGGGATGGGAGTAGCCTTTATGGAAATCGAAGCCGGTGATGGCCTGGACACAGTCGATGTCCAGCTTGCGGGCCACGCGGTGCAGGTTGGGCAGGTTGAGCTGGACGCAGCCGACGGGCATCATGCTGGGCAGGAAGAGGTACACGTTCCCAAACTCATTCCGGGGGACCTGCAGGGGGTGGCAGGGCGGGTGTGGCCAGCGGCAGCGTGACACGACCCGGTCCCGAGCCCTCGGGGCGCTGCCCTCACCTTGCCGTCCACAGCCACGGGCGGCTGGTACTCCTCCGTCTGCCACTCGCCGAACAGGCCCAGGTCGTTGTGGTCCTGCAGCTGCGGCTCAGTGAGGCGGGCTTTCCGGGCCCGGTTGGAGTAGCCTTTCACCATCTGCCCCGGAGGGACAGCCAGTTGACAGACGGACTGCCGCTGCCGAAGCACTTACTGTATCCTGGGCACCGTGCTGAGGGCCTTCCTAAACCCATGGCCTCATTTCACCTCCACAACGGACCCGAGATGCACGTGCCTCTTACCCCCTTACCGGGCCCAGTACCAGCGCGACCCCGGGGACGGCCACCGCTAGCCAACACCTGCAGACGCTCCCTGCCCCAGGTTGTGTCCGGCAAGGGGGTCCCATCGCCGTCTCCACTGCACAGCCAGATGAGCGACCCGGGAGCTGCAAACTATCTGCCTACAGCGCAGACCGGAGCCAGGCTTTTACCCGCCACACCTCGCTCCCTACTTTCATCACAGACAGGGTGACTGGGACTCGGAGATGAAGTCACTGAAATCCCATGGCCAGGTGAGTGACAGGGCCAGGATTTAAACCCGGGAACTAGCTGCGTCGTGCATTCTGGAAGGCACTGACAGCTTAGGACTCCTCGCACACTCCCCGACCATGTCTAGTGGCCAAAAGTCTCACTGGGGAGGACGAGCGAGAAGGCTGCCTAAGTGCTCCAAGGAGGAGTGGGACAGACGCACCGGGCGCCTCTAGCACAGGGCTCGGCACATTTTTCTGGAAAGGGTCCCATGCAGCCTGTTTTACAACCCTTAGGTGTCACATGTCTTGCTTGCTCTGAAAGATCCAGCTTACAAATTCCCCATTAGAGTAAGACATATTTGAATGCTTTTCGCTTCCTCCAGTCTTTCTCAAGCCAGAAAAGTCAGCCCTGGATGCCTCTCCCCGCCTGTCCTCAGCAGCCCTCAGTGCCCAGGCCTCTGCCTGCAGGGCGCCCGCCATGGTTACCTTGTAGGGCACTTCTCCCAGCCTCACCACTCTCGCCTGTTTCAGCCACGTGTCCCGCGAGTGCAGGGTATGCACGCAATCCCTGCGGGAGCCAACAGGGGGAGACACAGGACACACTCAGTTCACACCGGGCTGAAGGAGCTGTGCGCGCAGCCTCCCAGAAGGAAGGGCTCGGCCCTCGATTCTCTCCTCAGGCCCGGCTCCTGAGGGAAGCAGGGGACCTGCGGTGGGCGAACGGCTAACCTGGACTTCCTATCTTCTCGGGGATGTGTCCACTTACACTGGAACCACGAGCTACTGAGTGACCACAGAATGAAGATGCACGCCCGTGGCAGTCACGATTCCCGGCAGCCTCTGGCTCCGCTCTCCTTCCACAGCTAAGAGCTGTACCCGGCCTTGCAAGACCACTTTCCAAAGAGTTCCACCTGCCGTCCTCGCTGAGCCTTCTCCGACAGGGCGCGCTCATCTCTTCCTCAGTTTGCAGCCCTGCACTCTGGCCAGAGAGAGGGCTCCCGTGCGCAGAGCAGGCCCTCCGGCTCCGGCCCCATCGGAGGCCTGCGGTGCACACCTCCTCGTGCCACGGCCTGGCGGGGGGCCCCACACAAGCCACTGTCCCTTCCTGAGCCTCAGCGGCACCCTCTATCAGCCAGGGATAATGAGCTCTGTCCTCTGTGCTTTGCCGGGCTGCAGGAAGACCAGACGCTGCCCGGGTGCTGGAGCAGAGCCTGTCCTGTCAGGGCTGGCACCCCCGGCAGGCTGCACAGCTCTGATCACCCAGAGGAGCAATTACGTCACGGTCATGGTCTTCACGTGGGGGCGCGGGGGGGAGGCAGGCGGGCACTGTCAGGACATTCCAAGGAGCACAGCGGGGAAGTGGACACAGCCCCGTCAGGATAAACCTCAACTTCTAACCACTTCACACCCACGAGGACGGCTATTATCCAAAAACCCGAAAGGAAGCGTGGGCGAGGGTGGGGGAAACTGGCATCCCTGCATGCTGCTGGTAGGACCGGAAAACAAGGCAGGCACTGCGGAAGGCAGGAGGTTGAGGCTTCAAAAAGTAGACACAGAATTACCACGCGAGTCGCGATTGTACTTCTGGGCATATGCACCCAAAAGGAGCGACAGCAGAATCTCAAAGAGGTATGTGTGCACCCACGTTCGCAGCAGCACTGCTCAGCACAGCCGAAAGGGGAAGCACCGCGAGTGCCCGTCCCTGGAGGCCAGTCCCCAAAGGACGACTACTGCACGATCGCATTTACATAAGGTCCCCAAAGGAGTCAAATGCCCAGACAGCGGCATGGTGGCCGCCAGGGGCTGCGGGGGAGGGGGGAGATCCTGTTTCATGGGGACCGAGTTTCCGCTTGGGAAGATGAAGAAGTTCTGGAGACGGACGGTGGGGATGGTTGTACGATCCAGTCAGTGTACTTAACACCACTGAACTGTATGCTTACAAATGGTTACGTGGCACACTTGGTTTTGTGTATTTTACTACCAAAAAAACTGTCTACCTCTGATGCGTTCTCCGATGACTGACGTGGTGGTCCCTGTGGACCACACCTGCTTCCTTCCCACCGGCCTGCTTTGCCTCAACCACCTGTGCCTTACGCCTGAGCCTTACGCCCTCGACCAGGGGGACTGGGCCCTGGGGCCTCTGACTGCCGGCAGCTGAGGCCCTGACCAGGACTGATGCCTCCTGACACGGAACAGAAAGCTCAGCCACAGACCCTGAACAGAGGGTGTAGGCTGGGTCCCTGCAGGGCTGCACGCAGGAAGTGGGCTGCACCCACTCAGAGCCCCTGAACCACCTACTCCTGTGATTTCCCTGTTGCCTTGTTTTCTCTCTCTTGTCCTGGTTATTAAGAATACCCTCTACTCTATTTTTTGGTCTCTCATTCCAGTGTTTTAAAAAGCCACTTCTTTTAGTTATCATTTTGTTTTGTTTTTTTGAGGCACATTTTATTTAAATTCAATTAATTAACATATAATGTATTAATAGTTTCAAAGGTAGAGGTCAGTGATTCATCAGTCTTATATAATAATAGCCAGTGCTCATTCCATCACATGCCCTCCTTAATGCCCATTACCCAGCCACCCCATCCCTCCACGCCCCTCCCCTCCAGCAACCCTCAGTTTGTTGCCTATGATTAAGAGTCTCCTATGGTTTGTCTCCCTGATTTTGTCTTGTTTTATTGTTTCCTCTCTTCCCCTATGATCCTGTTTTGCTTCTTAAATTCCACATATCAGTGAGATCATATAACTGTCTTTCTCTGATTGACTTTTTCACTTAGCCTAATACCCTCTAGTTCCCTCCACGTCACTGCAAGTGGCAAGATTTCATTTTTTTGATGGCTGAGTAGTATTCCATTGTAATTTCTTTCTATTGCCATTTTTCTTAAAAGTTCTGCTTCTATTTTTCTCTCTCACCTTAAGATTTTATTTATTTGACAGACAGAGGCACAGCAAGAGAGTGAACACAAGCAGGGGGAGTGGGAGAGGGAGAGAAGCAGGCTCTCCGCTGAGCAGGGAGCCCGATGTGGGACTCAATCCCAGGACCTGGGATCATGACCTGAGCCAAAGGCAGATGCTTAATGACTGAGCCACCCAGGCGCCCCAAGATTTTTTGTTTTAGGGGCGCCTGGGTGGTGCCGTCGGTTAAGTGTCTGACTCTTTGGATTTTGGCTCAGGCCATGATCTCAGGGTTGTGAGATGGAGCCCCGCCTTGGGCTCTGTCCTCAGCAGCGAATCTGCTTGAAACCCTTTCCCTCTGCCCCCACCCTGCTTGCACGTTCTCACATGTGCACGCTCTCTCTCAATAAGTAAATAATCTTAAAAAAATTTCTTTTGGGGCGCCTGGGTGGCTGTTGGTTAAGCGACTGCCTTCGGCTCAGGTGATGATCCTGGAGTCCCTGGATCGAGTCCCGCATCAGGCTCCCTGCTCGGCGGGGAGTCTGCTTCTCCCTCTGACCCTCCCCCCTCTCATGTGCTCTCTCTCTCTCTCTGTCTCAAATAAATAAAATCTTTAAAAAAAAAAAAAATTCTTTTGTTTAAATTTTGTATATATCTTACATTCTTCTTCTAACTCTTATTCCCTTCCCCTCTTCTTTGGCAATTTTCTTTAGTGTGGATAAAATATACACAGAATGTACCATCTTAACCATTTCTAGGTGTGCAGTTCAGTGACATTAAGTATATTCACACTGTTGAGTAACTGTCCCCACCACGCACCTCCAAAACTTTTCCATCTTCCCAAACAGAAGCCCTGTCCCCATTAAGACATCTGCTCCCTTTAATTTTCATGATCAAATCTTGTATTCCCTCCTTTTGTAGTTTTGTTAACTTACATCTTAGGGGTGTATTTTCTATTGTCCCATATAAACCTTGTCATACTTTTAATTTTTCCCCCATAACTCTTTTGCACCTGCTGGTCTTTTAACCCTTGTGGTTTTCATCTTCAAACTAGAATCCCTTCTACATGTGCACCCCATGGGACGGTGTGCGCACACACCCACACCCACACCCACACCCACACCACACAGCTCATCCCGTTTGACAAAAGGGCTGATGTAAGCAGCCCCTCCCGCAGAAGGCTGCTAGTCCCAGGCCAGCGGGAAGCCCACAGGGCCACCTGGCTGCCTCACGCACCTGGAGTAGACCGCTTCTCCACGACAATAGCCAAGAATCGCGGCTGTCTCAGGGTAGATGGCCTCGTATTTCAGGAGATGCCTCTTCAGCGCGTACAGAGGGTGGTTCTTATATGTGCCAATGACAGTCGGCAAAGGCTGGCCCAGGTGCTTTGCCTGGAACTGCAAAGACCAGAGAGACAACGCTGAGCATGTTTGGAAGAGGAGGTGAGGTCTGAGGCGGGCCATTCCCTCGACCACCTTGTGCAGGGAACAGTGGAGCAGAGGTTTCGCGAGCACCAGTGACTGTAACATAGCGTCTGTAGTCTGGTACTAGGCAGGTTTTAGATAAAGCATGGGATCCTGTGGCCTGTGGCAACTGTGGAAAGTCATCTAACCTACTCATTCTCGGTGCTCAGACCTAGCCCTCAGGGAGGACACACGGTTTTCCGCAGGAAGAAGGCCTTCCGTCCTCTGCAATGTGGGTCTACTTGATCCTGCTCGGGAACCTCAAATGGGCCGTTCGCGCCATGTAACTCTCCTTAGTCCCCTGTGAGGAACACTCATCTCTCGGCACTTCTTTCAGGACTCTGATTTCTCAGTGGACAATTCCACTGCGGTAAGTCACATGCTAGTCATCAAGGTCTCCTGAGCTCTCCTGGCATCTCTTCAAACAGCCCCAGCAGATGAGAGCAGACTGGCCAAGCTCGGGCAGCTTCCACCTCAAATAGTCCGTTGTGACACCATCTGCACCATTCCCACTCACCCAGTCACATCTAAGTAAAATGAACCAGGAACAGCCCCTCTCAACGCACCGGAACTGGGGAACTGTACTGCTATGGGGGACGCTAAATAAACCCATGCTTCACCTGCCCCGACAAAGTGGGCATCATTCATGAGCAAATCCGGGCAAATGCTGAGCTCCACCCCACGCGACTGCCGTGCACAAGGAGCTCGGGTCAGTGGGCGGTCCTAGCACAAACTGTACTGCTTTAGCAGTCTGCTTCCCTGTGCGCCCTCCCGAGTCCCTTTCTCCCCAGGAGACGAGTGTTCTAGATCCAAGAAGGGATGTCCGTGTGTGCTTCTGTGAGCGTGCACTCGGGGCTCAAGCGGGGTGGGGGGACAGATGGCCATTGCATTCCTGAGTTTTTTCTTCTTTCACTCAGTGCAATTTATATGATTGCATACATATTTTAAAGCTCCAAATTTACAACTAGGCAATAACTAAAAGTATGCTGTATAACGGCTTTGAAGCCTGACAGATGTGGGTTCAAATACCAAGGCAGTTAATCTCTCAGATCCTCCATTTTTAACTGGTAAAATTAGGGCAATAGTCATCCCGGGTCTAAAGTACTGTGATACCCCCACATGGGGCCGGGCACATACAAGGGGCACCAAGATGGGCCTTTGAGCCCACAGCAGACCTTACCTCTGAGTCTTCCTTCTTCTCCCTCTCCACCAACGGGCTCTGGTACGGTCTCAGGGTTTCAGCCCACCACTTGGCATCAACCCGGCACTTGCGGGTCACAGTCATCCAGTCTGGGTCGTACCTCTGGGTGACATCCCGGACCCAGCCATCACCGTCGATGCCCACCACGTAGGTCATGGGCTTGGTGGCATACTTGTAACAGGCCAGAGCCTGGCCCACCACACCATGCACACAGTCCACACACACCCACTTTTCCTCCTGCTCACAGAACACCTCTAGCCACTGGTCTACACCAGCTGCTTTCTCTCCTTCTGCCCCCTCACCACCACTGGAGATTTTCCTGCCTCGCTTACTCTTACTGCTTGAAGAGCTCGTGGATGCTGCTGGAAAGCTAGGGTGCTTGGGGTGCTGAGGGTGCCTTCCACGTTGGGTCCTGGAGTCACTCTTGGACCCTGCCTTTGTCCTCTGGGGGGCTGGGGCCCTCCTCTGCCTGGGAAGGCCAGGCTCAGAATCCTCATCAGATGAATGAGGGGCTTCCCCGCTGGAGAGCTCAAAGTCAGAGCCGCTGCTGCCCTTGTCACTCCCACTCTCTTCTTTATAAGACACCCTGGAGGCCACCTGCCGCTCCCGGCCAGGCCGACGTCTCTGGGTGGCCTCCTGCCGCCCTCCCGCCCTGGGCTCTTCCGCGCTGGAGGAGGGCTCTCTCCGTTTCTTCTTGGCCGCGGCTGCCTGGCTCCTCTTCCCTTGGGCACTTGGACCTCCAGGGCCCTTAGAAGACGTGGCCTCCTGCCTGGTTCCTTGGCTGGTCTTGGGGCTGGTTTGGCTTTCTGGAACTGGGCTGCAAGTCTCCAAGGAGCCCCCAGGATCTTCTGCAGAGGTCTCCTTGGCAGCTTTCTTCCCCTTAAGTAGAACAGGAAATTTTGTTTTTTCTTTTTGTGCTCATGATATGACAGAGATCCTATAATCTGCCAGGGCTAAGTCACTGGCTACAGAACCAGCATACACAGGATGTCCCCAGCTCAGACAGAGTCGAGCTGGCAATCCTTTAGGAATGTAAGAATGTATTCACTAAAATCTGTGGCATCTTAGCTAAGCCACAGTGGACTCTTTCCACTCTAGCGCCTGGCTCGGGGAGGGGAGTGGGGGCAGCAAGGGAAACAGACCAACCTGGGTTCCATCTCCAGTTCTGCTTCTCATTCATTATGTGGTTTCAGTCAACAATATATACGTTTATTTACATTTTCTCAAATATTTATTACTTATGTGTAAACCTCTGAGTCTCAGTTTCCTTGGCAATACCCGCCTCGCACATAACATATCTTGCGAGCAAATACTGATGGACTTATTAAATTTGCAGCTTTAAGAACATGGAATTAAATCCTCTGGACCACTAAGTTTCAGACGGTGCTGACAGCACGGCAAGTCTAGTGCTGAGCCTCCTCCTTAGATGACAGCAGAACGCAGAGTCCCTCACCCCTTACCACTCCACACGGCCAAGGAGCAGGAGGACGGGGCCAATCTGCTGCATCACAAGGCAGAAACTAACCCACCAGGGAGCCAGGCCCTCCCTTGGGCCCCTCTGTGCATGCCAGGCTCAGGCTGCTGGAGGCCCACTGGTGTCCAGTCTTCCCAACACAGGGGTGAGCAAGGCAGGCTCCAAGGGGCCCATGCTCCATGAATGCCAACCCGTAAAAATAGTCCAATGACCAATTTTTTTCTTGGAAGTCTGGTAATTTCTCCCTCCCTGCTGAGCCAACTGCCTTTTAGGAGAACCCCACCTTTGCTGTGGGTAACTTCAGAGGAAGTGGCTGGAGAGACAGCACCAGTCGGGTCTGGACCTGCAGGGCCCGGAGGATCAGTAAAAATATCTGTGGGGGGAAAAGAATGATGCATTTATCCTAAGAAAAAAATCGAGGATTTAACTAATTCCATGGTGTTTGTTGTGGTAGTTTTTTTTATAACAGGGAAGAGTTAGAAACAACTGAACAACAGGAGCCGGGAACCCTACACGGTTTTAAAAATGATGCTGAAGAGATTTATCTTTGTAGAAAAATGGAAAGATGTTCACTACATATTAGATGAAAAGAGAAGTTTGGTTTTTAATGTGTAATGTTAATTTTTGTAAAAAAAAAAAAAAAACCACATAAACATATATGTGTATTTAGAAAAAAAAGGACCCATTTTTGGGTTATGGGTGTTTACAGGTGATCTTTTTTTTCAGCTTACCTACCTCCTGTATTCAACATGTGTTGTAATTATGAATAAAATAAAACAAACGAAGTATCACTTTGAGAAGAAAAAGTAGAAAACATCATTATCACCAGATCTCCAAAGTCTATTCTGTTTACCATTTTCCCCACAACGAATCTTTCCACTGGAGGCTGCAGTTCTACAACTTCTGCTTACCTGTAAGGAGGGGAGCCTCCTCAGGGGAATGAACCTCCAAAACGGCGACAGTGATAAAGCACCTGAGCAAGATCTTCCCACGCAGACCTCAGCATCTCATGAGTTACTCTAATGCCCGACTGAGAAAGCCACAAACAGGAGGGCGTGTTTTCTGTGAGACGCTGCATTATATCGAAAAAAATAATGACTTTTGCCTATTTCTTCTGGAGTTAAAAGCGGCTTGGTGGGGAGGATGAGAAAACATCAAAGAAACCCAAACTGAGAGACACTCTACAAAATTCCTAAGCAGTAGTCTGAAAAGTGTCAAGACAGGAAGGATGAGGGAAGACCCACAAACTGGCAGATGGAGGAGACGAAGGAGTCCCGACGGCCAAAGGCAATTCAAAGTAACCAGATGCCGACGGCCAACTGCTTTTTGATGAGGGTGCCAAGACTTGTCTCTTCTTACCAGTAGTGAAGATAACACAACAAACAGCTGGAAGAATAGTCTCCTCAACCAAGGACACCGGGACAACTAGATACCCACATGCAAAAAGGATGGAGTCGAACTGAGACCTCACATCATATATAAACATTAACTCAAAATGTATGGAAGACTCAAAATGGATGTAAGAGCTGAAACTGTAAAACTCTTAGAAGAAAACGTAAGGGGGAAAAGTTTCATGATCTTAGATTTGGCACTGGATTCTTAGATATGACACCAAAAGTATAAGGAATAAAAGAAAAATAGAAAAAGCAGACTTGGGGCGCCTGGGTGGCTCAGTCAGTTAAGCGGCTGCCTTCGGCTCAGGTCATGATCCCAGGGTCCTGGGATCGAGCCCCACATCAGGCTCCCTGCTCCGCGGGAAGCCTGCTTCTCCCTCTGCCACTCCCCCTGCTTGTGTTCCCTCTCTCGCTGTGTCTCTCTCTGTCAAATAAATAAAATCTTTAAAAAAAAAAAAAAAGAAAGAAAAGAAAAGAAAAAGCAGACTTCATCAAAATTAAAATTTTTGTGCCTCAACACACTTTCTCCAGAAAAGACAACCTACGGGATAGGAGAAAATATCTGCATATATCTGAGAGCGGGTTAGTATCTAGAATATAGAAGGAATCCTCACAACTGAACAATAAAAAGACGAAGAACACAACTAAAAAACGGGCATAGGATTTGAATAGGCGTTTCTCCGAAGAAGATACACGAATGGCCAACATACACATGAAGGCGATAACCATCATGAGTCCCCAGGGGAATGTAAATCCAACCCACAATGAGCTAGCACTTCACACTTATTAGGATGGCTAGAATAAAAAAGAAAAAAGGAAAATACAAGTGTTAGAGAAGATCTGGAGAAATTGGAGCCCTTGTACATTGCTGGTGGGAATATAAAATGGGGCATCCGCGGAAAAGTTTGACAATTCTTCAAAAAGTTAAACATAAAATGACTCAGCAACTCCACTCCTGGGTATACACCTAAAAGAACTGAAAACAAGTAGTCAAGTACGTACACATGTTGATATTAGTACTCTTTACAATAGCCAAGAGGTGGAAACAACCTAAATGTCCAGGAACTAACAAATACACAAAATGTGGTCTAGCCATCCAATGGGATAATATAAAGCCATAAAAAGAAACAAAGTGCTGACACAAGCTACAACATGGATAAACCTTGAAAACACTATGCTAAGTGAAAGAAGCCAGACACAAAAGGTTACATGATACTTATTCCACGAAAAACATCCAGAACAAGTAAATGCGTAGGGACAGAATGCAGACTGTGGCTGCCAGGTGCTGGAGGGAGTAGGATGGGGAGTAACTATTTAATGGGCACATGGTAGCCTTTTAGGGGGGGTAAAACATTTTGGAAATACACACAGGAACAGAGTTTGGGAGGATAAGTCTCTAATATTAATGCTTTTCCCTGGGTGGTGGTATTAGGGCAATATCACTGGCCACGTCAGGTGTCTTAGGCTTTTTCAAGCCGAATCAGAAGAGAGGTAAAGATGCCAGTCATTTGGGCTTTTAAGATCCAAGAAGTCTGGTCTCTTTCCCTAAACAAACAGAGAAGCTGGGGCTCAGATATAAGTACATGTAATGAATAGGAATCTTTCGGGGATAAAGCCATATTTCTACCTCTATTTTCGGTAGACAGAACTCTCCTCACTGCACTGTTGCCGGCCAATGTCACTTCTCCAATCGGAAGGTAGGGAAAAGCTTTCTGACAGATTTCAGCAGAAATCTGACAGTTTGAAAAAACATTTCCTTGGGACTTCTTTTTTTTTTTTTTTTTTTAAGATTTTATTTATTTATTTGAGAGAGAGAGAATGAGAGACAGAGAGCATGAGAGGGGGTAGGGTCAGAGGGAGAAGCAGACTCCCTGCCGAGCAGGGAGCCCGATGCGGGACTCGATCCCGGGACTCCAGGATCATGACCTGAGCCGAAGGCAGTTGCTTAACCAACTGAGCCACCCAGGCGCCCTCCTTGGGACTTCTGAACATAATTTTTGAATAGTTAATGGAAACAATTCTAGGGCACCTGACCAAAAAGTACGTGCTTAATGCCCCAGGACACCAAGCAACAGAACGAATGCAGGCTTTCCACCCCACACACTGGTCCTGAACCTGACTCCAGTGCTTACCAGCGGAATGACCCTGAGAAAGTTCTTTGGCCTCTCTGAGCTTCAGAACCTATTTTTTATTTCACAAGCAATGAATAAGGAAGAACATGGAAAACACTGGAATGGCATCTGGCACGTGACTGCCATGGTCATTAGCTCACGGTCCTAGAAAATACTGGCACCAAGAGGAATCACTTACATGGACCAACTCTTCATCATCCCGCGCAGAGTAAATAGCAAACCTCCTTTCCAACGTCGTCTGTAGACCATCGCGTTCGTTGGTTGAGAGGTCTGCATTAACTGTAAATGTACCAATGAACCTGGAGAGAAACCAGGCGTTCCCTGTGTCACAGGTGAGGGCAAAGAGGAACGCTTGCTATCCTTTTATAGCCAAGCAAATCAGACAGGAGAGTCTCAGAAGGGAATCGTGAGCCTTGCCTGCCTCTGTTCTCATCTTCCCAGTCCGTGTGGCTGACCCCGGCTCACCACTGAAGACCCCAGCAGACTTCATGTCCCTGGGAGGTTCCCAGCCCCCCAGCTGCTCCGTGCACCTACAGGCCCCAGCAGACCTCTTCCCAAGTGCTCCTCACACTATCCTGACTACCTGGGGTGCATCTGTCTCCCCAGCCAGCCTAGGAGCTCTTCCAGGACAGAGAGCATGCCTGACACGTCTCTATCTTCAAGGCTGTGCTCAAGGCTCGGCATATAGGAACCCCTCAGGGAAAGTCTGTGGGAACTGACCTGCCCCCAGCCTCTGAGAGACACAAGTCCTATACTAGGGCTTCGCAGGACGGGCTGGAGGGCCATACCATTTCACCAGGTTTGACAGGTAACAGGCATCCACGTCTTGAGGTAGCACTCTGGTAAAGCGAGCTGGGATGATGGACAGGCCAATAGCAAGCAGATCCGGCTGGCTGCAGATGTTACTTCGATAGAAACCATTTGCCAGCAGGCACAACAGGTGAACCTGGAAAGAAGGGGAAGATGGTAGGCCGAGAACTAGAAGGGTTTTTGCTGCCACACTGAGAGATGTTTTGTGGGCGGGAATTATCTGTTATTTCTACACACAAGGAAGTAAAAATCCCAACATTAGCCATTTCCCAAGATCATGTTTTTCACCCTGTCTTCCCCCTAGATACTTATTCCCTCAAATAACCAAATCTCAAAATTGCAGAATACAGACTTTTTTTTTTTTTAAAGGCCTTGTCTTTTAAACATATGCTGCAGGATTTGCTCCAAAAAGATCGGGAGGAAAAGTGAGTCGGGGGAGAGAAGGGAGAGACTGTGCAAGCGCCAATAGCTGTCCAAGCTGGGGGACGGCGCAGGTTCACCAGACAGCTCTCTGCGCCCTTCCCTGGGTGCCAGGACCCAGCCTCTTCCGCTGCAGACCCCAAGGCAAGCTGGCCCCCCACCAGAGCTCCAGAGATGGTCACATGACTCCTCACCACCTCCTCCACAACCTTACATCCTTTTCCCTTCCTCCCCACCGAGGACCTCCCCATTTCAGTCAATGGCTCCGCTCTTCTCCCCTCACTTGAGCTTCCCATCTTGGAGTCATATGAACTCTTTCCCTCATTTCACCTCTTCCCAAAGCTACAAGCAGCACAGCTGTCTCACGTGCTCAAGGCCTCAGGGAGGCGGGTGTCTTGTCTCCTCACTGTCCTTGCTCTGTGCTCGTCTCATCTCCCCATTTCTGCGGCTGCTGTAGACACACCGTCTCTTCCAGCCGTGCAAGCTCTACCCGCTCTGGTTGCTCACTGCCCATCAGGGGGACATCCAAGCGCCCTTCCCTCACTCACAGGCCACCAACGCACGTACCGTCCAAGACGCAGACACACGGGCTGTCCCACCATGCCCTCTGCACTTGGCGCGGGCAGCCTCCCCAGCTCCGCCCTCCCCCCACCGCTACCCGCTGGCCCTTCTCTTAAATAAAGCTGCCTTCCTCAGCCACCTGACCCACACCGGTCCCCTTCCGTGTTCTGAGTCTTGAATGTCCTGTTTTGAAGTCTGTCTTGTTCCATCTCTGAGATCAGATGCTCCTTAATGGCAGGAAAGAAGCTTTATACAAGTCTCTAACCCCACAAAGCCAAGTACCTTGTGAGGTCCATGATGCGATTCAATAACTGCCCCCTGAAGTCAAAGACACCATCTCTTCAGCGGTGGTGGGAACTGAGGTTATGAAACAGGTGGAGGAAGGGATGGCGGGAGAGTGCCTGTGGGTCCGGCCCTGCTTTGTGCCGGCTCTGTGCTCCGGACCTTGCGTGTCATGTTTGCTCCGTCCCTACAACCCCCCTCCGAGGCAGGCACTTATCACCCCCCACCTCAAAGATGAGGAAACCAAGGCTCAGGGAGACAAAGAAACTCGCCAAGGCCACACAGTGAGTAGAGGAGCCAAACAAAGCCAGGCTTGACTGAGAACCGAGGTTGCGTGCACCACACTGCCCTGCCTCGACAGAGAGGACACTGTCCCTTCACCCCCTGCCCTTGCCCTTACCTTGTGTGTGTCCTCGCGGACTTCTTTACCGAAACGTTTCATCATCCTCCGAAGATAGGTCTCAAACTCCACTTTTATCCTTTCACTGCCATGCACATGGAAAAATCCGAGAATGAAGTGGGAGACTGAGCCCTGAGCCCAGAGCCCAGCCCCCAGTCCCGCGTCATAGCTCCTGAATCACTCTCCTGGTTCTCCTGCCCGAGGCTGTGCTACTCGGGCACACCAGCAAGCTGCCTGTTTTCCGCTGGCTTTCTGCTCCTTCTCACCTGCACACCTTGGCTCGGGACATTCTCCACCCGTCACGCCTCATAGCCGTGCTTCGAAACACACATCCTCCAAGGAGGCTTCCCTGCCTGTCTGACCTCCCGACCACTGATTCCGTCCTTTGCACCAGGACTTCCGTGCTAAATTGGTGCACACTCATTTGTATGGTGCTGTTCTGCTGGGCGATCTCTTTCATGCCTGTGTCCCATGCATCTGTCCTCCTCCTTCGTGCCTAATGATGTGCCCATCAATGTGCAGAGTGCACACAGAGTGGGACTCATTCGCCAATTAACTGCCGGGCGTTGTGCTCACGTTCCCAAGCCACCAGTGGCTGCACTAGTCCTGGCGATCCTGGGATGGAGTGGGGGCTCCCTACCATAGGGGGGCACTGGCTCACATCGCGCAGTATAATGTGGTGCGAAAGCATGAGTGTCAAGTTGGCCAGAGAGGGATTTGGATCTTGGCTCATCTGCTCCCTGGCTGAGTGACTCCTGAAATGTTACTTAACTTCTCTGAGCCTCCACGATCTCATCCACAAACTATCTTCAAGTTTAAGTAAGACAATGGACAACCTACAGAGTCCTCGGCACACACCAGATGTTCAACACTAAGGATTTCCTCTTCCCATGTCTGCCCCAGCCAGAGAATAAACCAGGAATTTTGAACGTGGGACTCTCTCACCTAAGGCTCCTAACCACATTGGTACTCAGCCCCCGTCTCCTATGTGTTTCTCAAAAACTTGTGTTAGGGCGCCTGGGTGGCTCAGTTGGTTAAGCAACTGCCTTCAGCTCAGGTCATGATCCTGGAGTCCCGGGATCGAGTCCCGCATCGGGCTCCCTGCTCGGTGAGGAGCCTGCTTCTCCCTCTGACCCTCCCCCCTCTCATGTACTCTCTCTCATTCTCGATCTCTCAAATAAATAAATAAATCTTTAAAAAAAAAAAAACAAACTTGTGTTAAGTAGCAGCTCTTGCTCATTTTGTGTGACAGGAATCTACAGACAAGGTAAGATAATCTTACCTTCTTTCCCTTGCTTTCGCCTGCTGGGGTGTTTCAATCTCTATCTCCACTGGTTTCACAGGCAGGACAGATTTAGAGAAGGCTGCATTTTCTCCCACATCACCTGGCACAGGTTCACCAAGTTCTATCAACAATAATGTTTTTTTAAATCAGTAATCATAGGGGCACCTGGTAGCTCAGTTGGTTAAGTGGCCAACTCTTGTTTTCAGCTCAGGTCATGATCTCAGGGTCATGGGATCGAGCCCCACATCAGGCTCCACGCTGAGCGTGGAGTCTGCTTGAGATTCTTCTCCCTCTGCCCCTCCTCACTGCGCTCTTTCTCTCTCAAAATAAATAAATAAAATCTTTTTAAAAAACTAGTAATAATAATAATTATGATAGCTATCATACTGAACAAAATGGAGGTTCTGCGGGGAGTGAAGAACAGATGCAAGATAGGAGACCCCTACTCCTACAATGCTTTGAGTATCTCAAAAATGCCACAGACTGTGCTGTTTTACATTTATTTCTCATTTAACTTGAACAACCCAGAGAAACAGCCCTTAGAGGAGGAAACTGAGGCACAGAGATACTGAGTTGAATTAGAACCACACCTCTGGTATCAAGGAACTAATGCTCATGTGTGTGTTTTAGTAGAGACAGTCTTTCTCCAAGAGAAAAAAAACCCCAAAGAACAATTTCCTATTCTGTATTACTAAAATAATGCATATCATAATTTGCTTCATATACAGGCATGATTTAGTGGTCTTCCAGCCCCAACTGCAAACTTGTAATGATAAGGAATGCATCTTTTTTATCTCTTTATCCTCTACATCACTTGTAAACCCTAGCTGAAATAAACTGAATTCACTAAACTGGATCTGTGAACTTCATTAGCAAAGGCCCCTTTAAAGAGGCTCTGGGCCCAGAAGCAGTGACACCCCATTGGCAATGAACACACCTCATGCCAAGATATGGTTTCTACATACCAGTCACTAGTGAATGAGCCAGGCTTTCCTGGAGAAACAAAAGTTGATTATAGGTCTGGAGCAAGAAGAATATAGGATGGGCCTGGAACATCTTCTTGTGCCAAAAAACAAAAATGTTCTCAAAAACGTTTTTGAGAATGAGGCCATGTCAAAAGGACACAGTAAGGTAGCTGGCTTAAAGGAGCTCTTACTAGCCAAATCTGGGACAATCTGAAGATCAAAAAGTATAATGATGATAACTGATAACACATGAGTATTTAAAATATCTCTAAGTCCATAGTGATACTCAAAATAAATAAAATTCTTAAAAGAGAGAGCTCTTCTTTACAAAGTCATCTGATAAATGCATATGAGATGACAGAATCAGAAAGTTCCATTTTGCGATGCTCATTAAAATAATCTTTGATTCAGGGGCGCCTGGATGGCTTAGTCGTTAAGCATCTGCCTTCAGCTCAGGTCATGGTCCCAGGGTCCTGGGATTGAGCCCTGCATCAGGCTCCCTGCTCAGAGGGAAGCCTGCTTCTCCCTCTCCCACTCCCTCTGCTTGTGTTCCCTCTCTCGCTGTGTCTCTCTCTGTCAAATAAATAAACAAAAATATTAAAAAAAAAAAAAATCTTTGATTCAGTAAAGATAAATGCATACTAAAAACCATGAAGTAAAAAGTTACTGGAGAATAAGATATTCACACAGAATCAGAGTACCACCCGAGATGGTTAATTACAGAGGAAAAATGTACCTTTATATTGTCACAATCTGCCAGAACCACATTATATGATCACACTTAGCATCACTAGTAGGACAAACTGACATTAGGAGCCTCTTAATGGATGCAGTATGAAGTATTTTTGCAAAAAAAAAAAAAAAGTTTAACCTAAATTCAATCAAGTCTTAACTTACAGTTTATAAGAACCCAGGGGATACTGAAACACGTTTACCACCACCCTGAGGTGCCTATTTATCAGACAAAACTAGAATAAGAGACATCCCACAAAAGAAGAGGCCAGGACTCCTCAAAAATAGCAGTGCTACAAAAAGCAAAAAAAGATGCTAGGTGGGGTGTCTAGGCTAAGGGAGACTAAAGAGATGTAACTCACACCTTGATTAGACCCTGGATTAGAAACAGGCAAACAACAGCTATGAAGGATATTTTTGTAACAATTAGGGGCTTTTCTTTTTTTTTTTAAATTCTATATTCTTTTTTATTGTTACGTTAATCACCATACATTACATCATTAGTTTTTGATGTAGTGTTCCATGATTCATTGTTTGTGCATAACACCCAGTGCTCCATGCAGAACGTGCCCTCTTTAATACCAATCACCAGGCTAACCCATCCTCCTACCACCCTCCCCTCTAGAACCCTCAGTTTGTTTTTCAGAGTCCATCGTCTCTCATGGTTCGTCTCCCCCTCCGATTCCCCCCCTTCATTCTTCCCCTCCTGCTATCTTCTTTTTTTTTTTTCTTAACATATATTGCATTATTTGTTTCAGAGGCACAGATCTGTGATTCAACAATCTTGCACAATTCACAACGCACACCATAGCACATACCCTTCCCAGTGTCTATCACCCAGCCACCCCATCCCTCCCACCCCACCCCCCACTCCAGCAACCCTCAGTTTGTTTCCTGAGATTAAGAATTCCTCATATCAGTGAGGTCGTATGATACATGTCTTTCTCTGATTGAGTTATTTCACTCAGCATAACACCCTCCAGTTCCATCCACGTCATTGCCAATGGCAAGATCTCATTCCTTTTGATGGCTGCATAATATTCCATTGTATATATATACCACATCTTCTTTATCCATTCATCTGTCCATGGACATCTTGGCTCTTTCCAGTTTGGCTATTGTGCACATTGCTGCTATAAACATCAGAGTGCACGTACCCCTTCGGATCCCTACATTTGTATCTTGGGGGTAAATACCCAGTAGTGCAATTGCTGGATCGTATGGTAGCTCTATTTTCAACTTTTTGCGGAACCCCCATACTGTTTTCCAGAGTGGTTGTACCAGCTTACATTCCCACCAACAGTGTAGGAGGGTTCCCCTTTCTCCACATCCCCAACAACATCTGTCGTTTCCTGACTTGTTAATTTTAGCCATTCTGACTGGTGTGAGGTGGTATCTCATTGAGGTTTTGATTTGGATTTCCCTGATGCCGAGCAATGTTGAGCACTTTATCATGTGTCTGTTGGCCATTTGGATGTCTTCTTTGGAAAAATGTCTGTTCATGTCTTCTGCCCATTTCTTGATTGGATTATTTGTTCTTTGGGTGTTGAGTTTGATAAGTTCTTTATAGATTTTGGATACTAGCCCTTTATCCGATATGTCATTTGCAAATATCTTCTCCCATTCTGTCGGTTGTCTTTTGGTTTTGTTGACTGTTTCTTTTGCTGTGCAAAAGCTTTTTATCTTGATGAAGTCCCAATAGTTCATTTTTGCCCTTGCTTCCTTTGCCTTTGGCGATGTTTCTAGGAAGAAGTTGTTGCACCTGAGGTCGAAGAGGTTGCTGCCTGTGTTCTCCTTTAGGATTCTGATGGACTCCTGTCTCACATTGAGGTCTTTCAACCATTTCGAGTCTATTTTTGTGTGTGGTGTAAGGAAATGGTCCAGTTTCATTCTTCTGCATGTGGCTGTCCAATTTTCCCAACACCATTTGTTGAAGAGACTGTCTTTTTTCCACTGGACATTCTTTCCTGTTTTGTCAAAGATTAGTTGACCATAGAGTTGAGGGTCCATTTCTGGGCTCTCTATTCTGTTCCACTGATCTATGGGTCTGTTTTTGTGCCAGTACCATACTGTCTTGATGATGACAGCTTTGTAATAGAGCTGGAAGTCCGGAATCGTGATGCTGCCAGCTTTGCTTTTCTTTTTCAACATTCCTCTGGCTATGCGCGGTCTTTTCTGGTTCCATACAAATTTTAGGATTATTTGTTCCATTTCTTTGAAAAAAGTGGATGGTATTTTGATGGGGATTGCACTGAATGTGTAGATTGCTCTAGGTAGCATTGACATCTTCACAATATTTGTTCTTCCAATCCATGAGCATGGAACGTTTCTCCATTTCTTTGTGTCTTCCTCAATTTCTTTCATGAGTATTTTATAGTTTTCTGAGTACAGATCCTTTGTCTCTTTGGTTAGATTTATTCCTAGGTATCTTATGGTTTTGGGTGCAATTGTAAATGGGATCGACTCCTTAATTTCTCTTTCTTCTGTCTTGTTGTTGGTGTATAGGAATGCCACTGACTTCTGTGCATTGATTTTATATCCTGCCACTTTACTGAATTCCTGTATGAGTTCTAGCAGTTTTGGGATGGAGTCTTTTGGGTTTTCCACATAAAATATCGTATCATCTACAAAGAGTGAGAGTTTGACTTCTTCTTTGCCGATGTGGATGCCTTTGATTTTCTTTTTGTTGTCTGATTGCTGTGGCTAGGACTTCTAATACTATGTTGAATAGCAGTGGTGATAGTGGACATCCCTGCCGTGTTCCTGACCTTAGGGGGAAAGCTCTCAGTTTTTCCCCACTGAGAATGATATTTGCTGTAGGTTTTTCATAGATGGCTTTTATGATATTGAGGTATGTACCCTCTATGCCTATACTCTGAAGAGTTTTGATCAAGAAAGGATGCTGTACTTTGTCAAATGCTTTTTCTGCATCTATTGAGAGGATCATATGATTCTTGTGCTTTCTTTTGTTAATGTATTGTATCATGTTGATTGATTTGCGGATGTTGAACCAACCTTGCAGCCCAGGGATAAATCCCACTTGGTCGTGGTGAATAATCCTTTTAATGTACTTTTGGATCCTACTGGCCAGTATTTTGGTGAGAATTTTTGCATCCATGTTCATCAAGGATATTGGTCTGTAATTCTCCTTTCTGATGGGGTCTTTGTCTGGTTTTGGGATCAAGGTAATGGTGGCCTCATAAAACGAGTTTGGAAGTTTTCCTTCCATTTCTGTTTTTTGGAACAGTTTCAGAAGAATAGGTATTAATTCTTCTTTGAATGTTTGTAGAATTCCCCTGGGAAGCCATCTGGCCCTGGGCTTTTGTTTGTTGGGAGATTTTTGATGACTGCGTCAATTTCCTTAGTGGGTATAGGTCTGTTCAGGTTTTCTATTTCTTCCTGGTTCAGTTTTGGTAGTTGATACATCTCTAGGAATGCATCCATTTCTTCCAGGTTATCTAATTTGCTGGCACAGAGTTGCTCATAATATGTTCTTGTAATTGTTTGTATTTCTTTGGTGTTGTTTGTGATCTCTCCTCTTTCATTCATGATTTTGTTGATTTGGGTCATTTCTCTTTTCTTTTTGATAAGTCTGGCCAGGGGTTTATCAGTCTTGTTAATTCTTTCAAAGAACCAGCTCCTAGTTTCGTTGATCTGTTCTACTGTGCTTTTGGTTTCTATTTCATTGATTTCTGCTCTGATCTTTATTATTTCTCTTCTCCTGCTGGGTTTAAGCTTTATTTGCTGTTCTTTCTCCAGCTCCTTTAGGTGTAGGGTTAGGTTGTGTACTTGAGACCTTTCTTGTTTCTTGAGAAAGGCTTGTATTGCTATATACTTGCCTCTTAGGACTGCCTTTGCTGCATCCCAAAGATTTTGAACAGCTGTGTTTTCATTTTCATTGGTTTCCATGAATTTTTTAAATTCTTCTTTAATTTCCTGGTTGATCCATTCATTCTTTAGTAGGATGCTCTTTAGCCTCCATGTACTTGAGTTCTTTCCGACTTTCCTCTTGTGATTGAGTTCTAGTTTCAAAGCATTGTGGTCTGAAAATGGGCAGGGAATGATCCCAATCTTTTGGTACCGGTTGAGACCTGATTTATGACCTAGGATGTGATCTATTCTGGAGAATGTTCCATGGGCACTAGAGAAGAATGTGTATTCCGCTGCTTTGGGATGGAATGTTCTGAATATGCCTGTGAAGTCCATTTGGTCCAGTGTGTCATTTAAAGTCTTCATTTCCTTGTTGATCTTTTGCTTAGATGATCTGTCCATTTCAGTGAGGGGGGTGTTAAAGTCCCCCATTATTATTGTATTGTTGTCGATGTGTTTCTTTGCTTTTGTTATTAATTGCCTTATATAATTGGCTGCTCCCATGTTAGGGGCATAGATATTTACAATTGTTAAGATTGTCTTGTTGGATAGACCTTTTAAGTAGGATATAGTGTCCTTCCTCATCTCTTACTACAGTCTTTGGTTTAAAATTTAATTTGTCTGATATAAGGATTGCCACCCCAGCTTTCTTTTAATGTCCATTAGCATGATAGATGGTTTTCCACCCCCTCGTTTTCAATCTGGAGGTGTCTTTGGGTCTAAAATGAGTCTCTTGCAGACAGCATATCGATGGGTCTTGCTTTTTAATCCAATCTGATAGCCTGTGTCTTTTGATTGGGGCATTCAGTCCATTTAATTCAGCGTAACTATTGAAAGATAGGAATTTAGTGCCATTGTATTGCCTGTAAGGTGACTGTTACACTATATTGTCTGTGTTCATTTCTGGTCTATGTTGCTTTTAGGCTCTCTCTTTGCTTAGAGGACTCCTTTCAAGATTTCTTGTAGGGCTGGTTTCGTGTTTGCAAATTCCTTTAGTTTTTGTTTGTCCTGGAAGCTTTTTATCTCTCCTTCTATTTTCAATGACAGCCTAGCTGGACATAGTATTCTTGGCTGCATATTTTTCTCGTTTAGTGCTCTGAATACATCATGCCAGTCCTTTCTGGCCTGCCAGTTCTCTGTGGATAGGTCTGTTGCCAATCTAATGTTTCTACCATTGTAGGTTACATATCTCTTCTCCCAAGCTGCTTTCAGGATTTTCTCTTTGTCTCTGAGACTCGTAAGTTTTACTATTAGATGTCGGGGTGTTGACCTGTTTTTATTGATTTTGAGAGGGGTTCTCTGTGCTTCCTGGATTTTGATGCCTGTTTCCTTCCCCAAATTAGGGAAGTTCTCTGCTATAATTTGCTCCAATATACCTTCTGCCCCTCTCTCTCTTTCTTCTTCTTCTGGGATCCCAATTATTCTAATGTTGTTTTGTCTTATGGTATCGCTTATCTCTCGAATTCTGCCCTCGTGATCCAGTAGTTGTTTATCTCTCTTTTTCTAAACTTCTTTATTTTCCATCATTTGGTCTTCTATATCACTGATTTTCTCTTCTGCCTCATTTATCCTAGCAGTTAGCGCCCCCATTTTTTATTGCACCTCATTAATAGCCTTTTTGATTTCGACTTGGTTAGATTTTAGTTCTTTTATTTCTCCAGAAAGGGTTTCTATAATAATGTCCACGTTTTTCTCAAGCCCAGCTAGTATCTTTAAAGTCATGATTCTGAACTCTAGATCCGACATTGTACTAATGTCCGTATTGAGTAGGTCCCTGGCAGTCGGTACTACCTCTTGTTTTTTGTTGAGGTGATTTTTTCCGTCTTGTCATTTTGTCCAGAGGAGAACAGATTAATGAGAGAACAAAATGCTAACAGGGTAACAACGTCCCCAGAAAATATACTCTAAACAAATCAGAAAAGACCTGAAGCCGGGGGAAAAGAAAGGGAAAGAAAGAAAAAAGAAAAAAAAAAAGATAAAAACAAAAACAGAATATGATCAAATATGATCAGGCTGGTGCATAGATCAGTGCCACACACTAGATTTTGGGTGTATTTTGCTCTGTTAGAAGAAAGTGCCCCCCAAAATTTTAAAGAAAGAAAAACTTATATATGTACAAAAATAAGGATTGATATGATGAAGGGATAGAATATGACTGTAAAGATGAAAATTATAAAAAATTTTATAAAAGGAATTGATAAGAAGTTGTTTGAAAAAAGAAAGCAGAGGATTTAAAAAAAAAAAAAGAAAAAAAAAGGCAGAGAATGTGATCAGGCAGGAGAGAAGAACAAAACCATACACTAGAGATTTAGGGTATATTTTGATCTGTTAGAAGAAACTATCTCAAAATTTTAAAGTGAGAACAACTTATATATATATGCCAAAAATAAGGGTAACTACTATGAAGGATAGAATATGACTGCAAAAATGAAAAATAAAAATGTTTTTTAAAAAAGGGATTGATAAGATGTTGGTTGAAAAAGGGAAAAAGAAAAATTAAAAAAGAAAAAAAGAAAAAAAGACAGTTAAAAAAAAAATTAACTTTGAAAGACTAAAGAATCACGGTAAAAAAGCCACTCCCCTAGCGCTGGAGTTCTGCCGTTCTCATTGATCGGTAAACTTGGCCTTGGCTGGCTGTTCTCGCTGATCTTCTGGGGGAGGGGCCTGTTGCTGTGGTTCCCAAATATCTTTGCCGGAGGCGGAATTGCCCCACCCTTGCCCGGTCTGGGTTGAGTAATCTGCTCGGGTTGCTCTCTGGAGCTTTTGTTCCCTGCGAGCTTTCCCTACAGCTTTGGAGGTGGAGAGTGAAAATGGCGGCCTCCCAATCTCCGCCCCGGAGGAGCTGAGAACTCGGGGCCCCGCTCCTCAGTAAGCCCACAGAGAAAAGCCTCCAGTCACTCCCGTCTCCCCGGTCTCCGGCCGCACTCCGTGCTCACCCAGCCTGTGACTGAGCGTTTCTATCTCTGGCACCCGACTCGGTGTGGAGTCTCCAAATCCAGCAGATTCCTGCGGTGCGCTCCCACACCTCTCCTCCCGGGGGAAGAAGGGGAGTCTCCCCTTATCTGCCGCCTGTTGGGTCCCTGTTGGAGGAGCAGTGGCCCGACTGTGCCGCGGATCATGGTTTATGGCAACTCTGAGCTGAGAGCCCGCGCCTTGGCTCCGTCTCTGCAGCCGGCTTCCCGCTCCGATACCTGGGAGCTCTGCCGCACTCAGGCACCCCTGGTCTTTCTGTGACCCCGAGGGTCCTGAGACCACACTGTCCTGCGAGGGTTCCACCCCTGCTGAGCCACTGGAGCGACGTCCCTCAGCGGAGCCGACTTCTAAAAGTTCCGATTTTGTGCTCCGCGGCTCTATCACTTGCCAGAAGCGGCAGACGGAGGCCCCCTCCCCTGCCGTCTATCCTCCCGAATATCGCCTCGGATTCACTTCTCCGCACGTCCTACCTTCCAGAAAGTGGTCGCTTTTCTGTTCAGAGAGTTGTTGCTATTCTTTTCTTCGATCTCCTGTTGAGTTTGTAGGTGTTCAGAATCGTTTGATCCCTATCCAGCTGAATTCCTGAGACCAGACAAAATCCAGGTCTCCCACTCCTCCGCCATCTTGCTCCGCCCCCGGCTTTTCATTTTCTTAAGTGTGAAAATATTTTATCATGCAGGAGAATGCGTTTCTCAGGAAACGCATGAAGTATTTACAAGTGAAGTGCCAGGATGTCTGCGACTCACTTTCAAATGGTTCCACGATACATATTTACAGAGAGAAAGATACATTCACTATGGCAAATGTCAGTTACTGAATCTAAGTGAAGAGTCTATGTACTACATTTCCAATGTACTATATTTTCAATCTTTTTGTAGGTTTTCAAAAATTATTTTCAAAATCAAAAGCTGGGATAAAGTTAGGCTAGACAGAAGGAGTCAGGGATGATAACATTAGCTGCCATTTATTGTGAGCATATGATGCTTTAGGCCCATTACATTTGCAAACCTTTCTTCCTTCACTACAATCCTGCAGCCTAGCCTGTGAACAGCTCACGGTGAGCATACAATGCTTACTGTTATCGGTGAAAAAACTCCACTCTGACGGGTGGATTTACTTGTTCACACAGCTATACAAGTGGCAAGGCTGGGCTCTGAACCCAGATCTCACTACTCTCGAAGCCCATGCGCTTTCTACAAGATGATGCTGCCTCTCTATTTCACAATCTACTCCACTGACAGCCACAAGAGGAAGAGAATATACAGCCTTCTTTGGTAACCTGGTCATGAATTCTTCCTTGCATCAAAAGCAAGTCCCTACTGGAACCTTATTTGGTCCTATTTAGTTTTAAAAGGAAACAACGGAATTGCAACTAAATGACATGACTCCAAGCAGACTCAAATGGAAAAACGGGATCACACAGCAATGATGTTTTACCTTCGACCTCTTCCCAATCATCTTCGCTTTCTTCCTCATTGTCTCCTTCACAGCTGCCTTTGTCCACAGCAGCCTCTCTCTGTGGGGGGTGTGACTTCTTCCGGGCACTGGCGAAGTCCCTGTGTAAAGATCACAGGAGGGAAGGTGAAGAAGGCTCATACCTCCTCATGCTACATTTAAGCTAAATGGAATCCTAAGGACTCTTTCTTCTATTTATTGTGAACCTGTTGCAATTATTTAAAGATAACGGGTGAGCTCTGAACCTCATTCCCTCCATCACTGTGAGTCTCAAGGGCTCCTCAGGACGTGCTCTGATCATCAGTCTAATACTAGATGTGCTGTCAAACAGAAAGAGTGCAATGGACTTACAGCCTAGAGCCGTGTGAGGGAAAACACAGCCGTGCCTGGAAGTGGTACAGGAAAAGTGAGAAGAAACCACAACAACAATGCAAGTTCCAGAAGTAAAAGCTGTGACGTGTATTATATATGCACAGGTGGACACCACATTGAAGAAGCGGGAATTCACGTTTGCCACTCATACCATGAGCCAACTCGGATCACTGTTTCTCCCCACCTCTATGATGTAAGGAAATGGAAGCTGGTAGAATTCTAACCTCAAGGTATGTGGGGATCTGTCCATACACAGGTATGTCACAAATAACAACAAAAGTATGGATAGCTACCTGGTTAAGTAGGTAACTACACAGATAAGCAGCTAGCTGAATATTGGCTGAAGATGCAATGGTTGCTAATATGTAATCCATTTTCGTAATTTCATACATAAAACGTGTTTAGAGCACAGTTACTTTTAGCTTTTGTAAGGTCTTGACGTGTGGTATCAAGTGAGAACATCATCTAAGATCTGAGCTCAGACATTTAAAATAAGCGAGCCTCAGTCTTCAGCTCTAAAAATACACACATTCTCTTTGCAACCACTTTCAACACCACAGTAACAAAAATTTCTCCTTAGAATAAACGTAGCGGGAATGTCCATGCGCTATGGATTTGACAGCAGTCAACTCAGTGGAGAGGGAAAGGGGGGCCCAGAGCTTTAACCGGCAGCATCCTGGTCTATGTGTATGTGGATTTCTCTGGAGAAAGAATTCAACTAGTGGGGAGAGGCAACCGGGAAGCAGGAAGCTCAGAGGCGTGCATTCACAGGAAAAGTCTAAGGGAAAAGAAGAGATGACCTTGAGGGCAAAATTCCCACGCTTTCTCATGGCTCCTGTCTACTGCTGGCCCTTCCCCGGGCTGCCTTCCTTGGCCAGGACTGCAGGCTGCTGGGAAAGCCAGCACTAAGACGGAAGAGTGGTTTCTGAAGGACCTACTACCTCTCTGTTCTTCCTCTTCCTCCCCTCCACACAACTTTCCTGGCAAGTGGACAGTCAAGTGTTCACTAGGCTTGCAGTCATTGTTCACCAATGTATTACTATGCATGTTCATTCAACTGCAAAAATCCTGGCTCGGTTTCTGCCAAACAAAAGGCCCCGCCCTAGATGCCACAGGGCCTACAAGAATGAACCAGGCATGGTTCCAGGCCTCGGAGAGCTTGCAGGGTAGTAAGCAGGGGTATGTGACCTGGGCACAAATAAGTGCAAGAAATCAGAGGGGGAAAAGGGGAAGAAACCAATGAAGACTGTCGAGTGGATGGATTCTGATCCACATCTTCAAGGTGGAAGAAAGCATTCCAGGTAGAAGGAAGAACAAGCACGATTCAGAAGTAGCAAAGTCTGAGCATGTGGCAAGTGAATGACAAGAAGTCCAGCTGGGCGGGAGCAGAGTGAACTTGAGGAGAGCAGTACAAGAGAAAGCTGGAATGGCAGGCCAGTATCTTAGGTATGTAGTTATCATTGCGCAGTAGAAAGAGCACTGGACCAGGAGTCCGAAGGCCTAAGTCTCATTTGGATTTTGCCACCGTCTAGCTATGTAACCACAGATAAATCCCTTTCTGCCAGCTCTCGTCATCTGAGAAGTCTGGGAGGCAAACTATATACAGCTGGCCCTTGAATAATGCGTGGTTGGGGCACCAACCGCTCACAGTCAGAACTCCGCACAGAACTTTCGACTCCCCAAAACGACTAACTACTACTAGGCTACTGTTAACTGGAAGCCTTACCAATAACTTGCAGTTGATTAACACATATTTTGTATGTTATATGTATTACATACCGCATCCTTCCAATAAAGTAAGCTAGAGAAAAGGACGTTATTTTTTAAATAATCGCAAGAAAAACTACATTTACAGTGCTTACTGTACTTATCAAAAAAACTCCATGTAGAAGTGGACCCATGCAATTCAAACCTGGTTGGTCAAGGGCCTACTGTAATTGCTAAGAAGAATCTTACTAGTGGTCTGAGCTCCAGCTGGAGGAGTTTAAAGATCCCATCTTTTGCACAGATCCCAGAGATGAGCTAAAAGAGACTCACAGTTCCCGGAGGGCAGAATCAAGACGTGGCTGGAAGCTTTTCAGCCATCTCACCTGAACTCCTCCCCATCGCTGAGGGCTTCATCCTTCACGACCTTGGGGTTTTCAGATTTGACAGTCACCTGGGACACTTTCTTTTTGGCTGGACCCCCAGGATCACTGCAGCCTCTCTTCCTCTTGCCTTGTGAGACTTTGGAGAGAAGGCTCCTCTTTAGAGGTTTCTTGTCTTCCAAGACATCTAGATGACCACACAGAACACGAGGTAAGGGACACAGGAAAGGCGGAGGCGGTGTGCTTTCACGGGCAAGTGATGAAAAGCCCCCTTCTGTCATCTCCCTCCAGACCCCATCTTCATCGCCAGGGCACCGTCCCTGGTTTGTTCCACAAGCAGCCTCCAGCCTCCTCCTTCCTCCAGCCCAGTTTACACCCTGCACTCCCAGTAAAAACTGGCTTCCTTTATCAGGGTTTTATTCCACTCCCTCGTGGGGTAACACGGACTGCCACATGAATCCAGTAAAATCTGGCTTCCAAATCTCAAATTGCAGCTAATAGCCAGGAAGGAAAAATACATCAATCTGCTAAGTAATACCTTGCTTATTTATTACCTGCCAAGACTAGTTATTTTAGGAGTAACCCACTATTAAGTGAAACGTTTTGAGTTCATAAACATGTCCAAGTTTTATCACCAACTTTACTATTACTAATCCATGTTTCTGCTATCTTTCAAAACCAAACCCCTGCTCAAAACATACTTCATGAAACCTTTCCAATCTAAGCCTAAAGTATATTCATATACCAACCATCTCAGCAAGCTTAGGGTTGGAAAAAGACAGTAATAATTTAAAAAATACCTTTATTTCCTTAAAAATAATTGTTGGTTTTTGTTAAAGGGAAAATTTAAAAATGCACAGGCTGCTGGCTTTAGTTAAATTAGGGTATCTAAAGGTATGGTCTGTTTCTTAACATATTAATAAATCAATTTTCAATAAAGAATAAATAACATGGCAGGGGACAATATCTTCTATTTTGCAAATATATTCATAAAAATAATTCTGAATCTGAAATAAAGCATCTTCCTTTGCCTTTGCATGACTCTGCTTCAGTTAATTTTGGAAAACAAAAATACTTTAGCCTTTTTTGAGGTTCCAAAAGCAGCAGCAATATTAACCTACCATCATATTGATTCCTTTCATTTATGGTTTGTCCTACCGACTCTACAGATAGATACTTATATTCCCCAAGAATATACTCTTGCATGGGGGAAAAGCTCTCCCTTTTGATCTAAATAAAATCATAATTTTAATAAATTTCTCATAGTAGAGGGGCATTTGTTCTAACACTAGATAAAATCACTGATTCAGTTCAGTTTCTTTAGAATGTTTTATAAAAGGAATTTATGCATTCTAATGTTTTAAACATTTTAACAGAAACACAATTTCAAAATTCTTTAGAATCTGGAGATACTTCTTATTCCAAGGCCAGAAGCTGCTTAAAGGTTTATGACTTGACAGTTTGAGTAGCATGTCCTTGAAATCAGGATTTCTGGATCTTTTCACGCTTTTTAGCCCTCTATGAACAGATGTGAAACAAAGATGTGAAACACTTCATTTTTACTAAACTACGTGGGAGGATACTTCAAAGGAACCATTTCTTCCTCACCAAACTTATTTGGTTGGTTAAAAAGCACAATTGTGTAAATCTTTTTGCTTTGAAGAGAGTTAGAGGAGTTAAAAGGGGGGCAAGAACGGAGCAAGAATGGAAACAAAAAACGGTGAATCAAAAAAATTTCCAGAGTATTATTTTCATACAGTCATCCTCCCTTAGCTGTGGTTTCAGTTACCGGGGATCAACCAGTGTGGAAGCAGATGATCCTCCTTCTGACAATCTCCTGTAGGTCAATGCCCCATTCAATGCTACGTCACAATGCCCCATTCACCCCATCACTAGGCATTTTATCATCTCACATCACCGTAAGAATTCGAAGGCTGAGTATAGCACAATAAGATATTTTGAGCAAAACAGAACACATTCACGTAACTTCTACTACAGTACAGTTTTAACTGTTCTATTGTATTACTAGTTATTGTTAATCTCTTACTGTGCCTAATTTGTCAATAAAGCTTTACCATAGGCATGTACCTATAGAAAAAAACGGCATATATAGGGTTCAGTACTATCCGTGTTTCAGGCATCCACTGGAGGGGAGGTCTTGGAACATACATCCCTGCGGATAAGGAGAGGGACTACCGTAATACCCCCAGATTTTTAAAATATGAATGCCTAACCATGACATATCATTATGTACATACATTGCAATATAAATCAGTCATCTTTTAAGACAAAGGAAAATGACCTATGATAAAATGTTAAGCATGCAAAATTGTTTTTACTATAAGGTTTCCACTACTTAGAAAAACAGACTAGAAGGAAATATACCATTATTTCTGGATAGTTGTAATACTTACTTTTTAAAAAATTCTTTACATTTTTTGGGGTCCCAGAGAATCCAGAGGCTATTTCCTAGGACTCTCCAAGATCTAGAGCTACCTACCCAGTCTCCTTGAGCTCAATGTGGTAATTTCAGAAAGGCAGGAATTATCACTTTGGGTGTGACTGGCCTTCTACTGAGATTTTAGAATACCTGCTTAAAACCGCCAGTGGTATCTCATAGCACTTAGAATACAAACTCCTTAACTGGGTCTCCAAACTAAGGGTCCTGACCACCTTTCCCACCTCAATTCCTATTTGCCCCTCACTATGTCCAGCCAGCCCGCCAAGCTCATTTCATTTCCTCCTAAGTCTTTAAACTTATTGATTCCTCTGCCTAGAACTCTTCCTGAGAACTTCCTTTGAATAGCTCCTTTGGGACACTCAGTAATTGGTTCAAAATATCACCTCCTCAAAAAGGCCTCCCTTCACCACCGACTCTTAGCTGCTTCTTCCCCACCACGTCAGTTTTACTACCTCTTTTACTCTTTTCGTAACTCTCATCATCGTGTGAATTATTTAACTTTTTATTGTCTGCCCTACCAACCCCTCCCCAGGGATTGTAAGCATCATGAGAGCAGGGACCTTGCCGGTCCTGTTCACTACTAGAATTTCAGTGCCTAGAATAGTCCTTAGATATAGCAGGTGCTCGGTAAATGTTTGTTGAAGGAATTAATGATTCACATCAATGAAAGCATTAACACAGAGAAGAAACATGAAGAAATTAGAGATGCCCTAATAGAAACAAGGAAATAATGTGAAAGACTGTTTTCTTTGACCCTAAATGTTGAATGCAGCCAAGTGTCACTTTCTTTGGCATGCACTGAGGTGCTGTTAGAAACTACACTGAAGGTCATCGAGTCAGTGTCAACTGTAGCCCAAACCACAACCAGATTTTTCCTCCACCCAACCACAGCAGAGATTGTAACTCTTCCTGGAAGCTGCCTTGGGAACTTACTGGTAGCTCCTCTGGCTGAGTTTCAGTGAAGCTTGGGTGCATGCTTGCCTACACCTAAGCTGAACTGATAGAAGCTAGCCCATCTGATTACCTGACACGGACCATGGCAGGAGCGTCTATCTCACTGAAAACTCACAACCACCCTGAAAGACAGTATTATGTTTCAGAGATGAGCTTCAGAGATGAGCTTCAGAGAGGCTAAACTGTCCAAAATAATTTATGCAAGTGCACATAAACAACTACGAAGTGTTGGAGCTGCACCAACTTGGCGTCCAGATACTGTTCAGCTGGAAGGAATGGTACCCAGGCAGGTGGAATTTCCATCAGATCACAACTTTTAATTTTTGAATTGCCACATATTCAGAATACATTCCCTCTGACTGGAATAAAAACCCTTTTCACAGCCATTTGCTGAAATGTTACCCATTCTCAAAGTCACAGATCTAACATAACTCCTTCAGAGAGCATTTCCCAATCTCTCCAGTCAAACTTGATTATTCCTTCAGAAGCCACAAAGCCTGCTACCTTCTTCCAAGATATCACACTTTCTTGACTATTTTTTATAAATGTCAATACTACAGCACTCTAAGCTTCTCCAAGTAATCTCTATCTCCCATGTCAACCAGCTTGTGCGCAGCACATATTAGGTACTCCAAAAATGTTATCTGAATGAGTAAATGAATAAAATGGAACTTGTAGCATTAACTGTGAGGTAAATCACTTTCTAAGTTTAGAAATGACTTCCACTTGCCTATTTACTAATGGATGATGAACTTACGTAAAGAATCACAGGATTATTGAATCTAGTGTCATAGGAGCCCTTGCTGGTTACCTATCTATCCAGGTTATTTTAGGAACCTCAGAAATCCCTTCTACAGCATGCATTATGCAATTATTTAAGATATTTATTGAGCACTTAATAAATGCAGGGAAGGAGAGAACAATATGGGACACAGCAAAAAATAAAACATGTTTTCATAAAGTTAAATTGTGGTAAGATAGGCGATCAAAAAAGAAGCAAATAAATTAACAAGATCATTACATTATATGACAAAGGCTGTGAGGGCCTGTGATAAGGAGTACCTGGGGAAGATCACCTTAGATAAAGCACTGAAAGCGGTGTGAATTCTCAAGAACAGAAGAAATCTGCCACCCTAGAGCCACGGAGGAAGGAACATCAAAGGCAAAGGCTCAAGGTGAGAAATAACATGGCATGTTTGAGGGATGGAAAGGAAACCACTAAGGAGGGTATTTGGCAAAGAAAAGAGTCATAGGAGACAACAAGTAGCAGCACCCAAATCATGTAAGGTCTTGCAAGCATTGGTAAAGAATTTGGATTTTAGGCCAAGAGCAATGAATCGGAAGCCCCAGGTTTGAAGTAGGAACATGGCATGATCCGATTTTTTTTTTTTTTTTTTAATCACTTGGGCTGCTGGGTGGGAAAACCATTGCAGGGGGATAAAGGGAAGTAGGGAGATCAGTAAAGAGGCATCTGTCATCGTTCAACTGAAAAGTGACGATGGCTTTAGGCAGGGATTGTGACCATGGAAATAAAGACAGGTGAAGAGATTTGAGATACAGACGGATTACATGGGTACGTGTAAGGAAAAGGAGGGCTTTACTTTAACAAGTGGGTGAAGGGATCATTTATTGAATGGGAAAAGGTGGGGGAAGGGACAGGTTTAAAGGGGAAAAATCAAGAGTTTTGCTTTGCCCTTGACAAATATTTTAAAAACCTATTTGATATCCAGGTGGAGAAGTCAGGTTGGATCGACTCTGTAACTCTGGGGTGAGATTTAACTGAAGACATTATTCTGGGGGGCCGCACACTACAGCACTCTGATCCATCCGTCTTCTGGGGCCACAAAATAACTTGCCATGCCTTTTTCCCTAGTCAGCCCTGTGCATCTGCAGGAGGCTGGACTGTATCCTGTGGGCAACAGGGAGCAGGAAAGAGGCTACGCGGGAGAGCCAATGGGCAGGTAGGGCTCCAGGGGAATCGCCCCGGGCGCATCACTCCTCGCGAGGATTAAAGCACAGCGACGTCGATAAGGACCAGACCAGCGACACAACCGCCTGCCTCCCCCTGCAGTCGTAACGTCGTCTCCTCCGGGCAGATGGGCACGGGGCAGCCTCTGCCCCCCACCTCCAGGAGTCCGGCCTCCCCGCTCCCCACACCTTGCCTCCTGCCCTCTTCCAGCAGCTCCCCCTAAGCCCGGCTAGGTCTCGCTCTCACCCGCCTCCTTCTCCTCACGCCCGGCCATGCTCTCGCCCTTGGCCTTCCGGCCGCACGGTTCGCGTCCCTGCGGCTTCCTACCGGCCGCGCGCTTCCGAACCATATTGCCCGGGCAAGACCCCCTTCGAGAGCGACGCACCAACACCGCGGGAAGCTGAGCGCCGACTCCGCCCCAAGCGGGATCAGGCACGGCCACGCCCTTCCTTACAGACCTAGTCTACGCCCATGAAGCTCCGCCCCAGCATCAAATGACCAATACAAACCGTACGAAGCAAGACGGCGCGTAGCGGATTTCTTTCTCCTTCCGGCGCATGGCATTTTCGCATTTCCTGAGATAATAGTGAGGGGCTCGCGTACTCTCGCGAGAGGCGGGAAAGGGCGCAGGGTTTGAAACATGGCGGACGACGTGGATCAGGTGAGTGAGTTTTGAGGGGCTCGCTCCAAAGCGGCCTCTCCACTACCAGTCCTGGTGCCGCTAAAGGAGCACTAGGGCTCTGTGGTGTATATGTTATAGAATTACTGTGTATTTGTTAATATGCCTCTCCCCACTAGAATGAACTGCTTGAGGGCAGGGACTGACCTCTCTATCCTAATCTAGTAGTTAGCTGGTTCTTAACAAACACCTGTTTAACTGGGGATGGGGACCAGTTCAGGTCAGGTTTGGCTCCCCCCCTCCCCCCACTAGCTTTTTAAGGCTGTAGAGCTTGTAACATTCGGTCACATACCTCCACTAGTCTAATGTACTCAATGAAGAAGCTCTCCTTGAATAATCTTAACAACTCCTGGCTTCAACCGTCCCTTGCGTTTGGATGATTCAAAGTCATCTTAGCCCTGATCTGTCACAGTTCTTTAATTGGTAATAACAAGAACCATTTCTAGGTACTCTCAGATTGCCAGGTACTATTTTAAATACATTAAATATGTTGATTTAATATATTAGCTCATCTAATACTCAAAAGAATCATGAAGGGAAGATAGGGCTTCCTCATTTTACAAACAGGGAAGCTGATAATTAGAGATGGCATGATTTTTAATCTGAATTCATAAGTATCACAGGGCACCTGGGTGGCTCAGTCGGTTAAGCCTCTGACTCATGATTTCGGTTCAGGGTGGTGAGATCAAGCTGCACTGGGCATGGAGCTTGCTTAAGATTCTGTCTCTCCCTCTGCCCCTCTGTATGTGACAGCACGTGCTGTCTCATAAATTAATTAATAATAATTAATTAATTATAAAAGAAACTTATATTTCTTTTATATAGAAGAAAAGATACTGGTATCTTTTCACTGGTGTGAATTCATAAGTATCAGATTCAGGAGTTGAACCCATACTGCCTGACTTCAAAGCTAGTGCCTTCAACCATCATTCAATATATTCATCTTGCTGGCCAGTTGGTACCCTAAACTCAACCTGACCCAAACTGAACCCATAATCTTCCTTCAAACTTTCATCTTTCCTTAGCATTCTGATTAGTGTGTGGTAATCATTAATGTTTTTCAAATCACTAAATGATATTTGAGATAAGGTTAAAGGCTCAGAGAGTGACTTCCTATAACTGAAATTGGGTCAGGCAGTTTGGATTTTGAGGAAACAAAGTACAGTCATGATTATTTTGCTGTATAACTCCTTCCTGTATATGTATGTTTCAGCCTTCATGTATATAGCACTATGATCCAGACTCTGTTCTAGGCCTTCATAATGTCATTGAAGCCTCATAGCAACAGTATTAGGTAGGCACTATTATTACTCACATTTTACAGGTTCGGAGACTGAGGCATAGAGGGGTTAAGTAACTTGCCCACAGTCACACAGTATAGCAATGATTTGAACACTGCACTCTCTAGTACTATATTACTAAGCCTGTTTCTTTTATCAGCAACAAACTACCAACACTGTAGAAGAGCCCCTGGATCTCATCAGGCTCAGCCTGGATGAGCGAATTTATGTGAAAATGAGAAATGACAGAGAGCTTCGAGGCAGATTACATGTAAGTAAATTTATTAAATTACCTTGAAATCAGATTATTTCCTTGTCATCCCTTCCTAACCCTACTCCTTTGAAATATAAACACTGTCCAATGTAGAGGAGTATTTTGAATGTAGATGAGAGAAAGGTAGGTCACTTGTATTTGTACAAGCGAAAGACAACTACCTTTTATTCATATTTTTTAAGAGATTTTATTTATTTATTTGACAGAGAGAGAGAGCGAGAGCAGGAACACAAACAGGGGGAGTGGCAGAGGGAGAAGCAGGCTTCCCGCTGAGCAGGGAGCCCGATGTGGGGCTCAATCCCAGGACCCTGGGATCATGACCTGAGCTAAAGGCAGACACTTAATGACTGAGCCACCCAGGCGCCCCTGTTCCTATTTTTCTCAACAAAAATGATGTGTTTATTAAAGAACATTTTCATTTTTTCCCTTCTGTTTATTTGTAAATAACATTTACTCCATTCTTATTTCAGTGTTCTTTCAGTTACTGATATGTACATAAATTTTTGTTTTCTTGTGAGAAAAATTAAATAGCCCAGAAGTACATAGAGTAAAAGGTGAAATCCCATTTTTTCTTTTGCTAACCACTTAAAAATGGGTCTGTCATCTTTCAGATCTTTTCTGTATATTTCCACACATATACATATATGTGATCACATGCATATATTTGCACTGTATACACCACCTCTAAATAAAAATGGATCTTACTATACATCTTTTTGAGCACCTTTTTCTTTAATCTTTCTTGAAAATTATTGATCATGAGTATGTATAAGTCTCCTTTATTTTTAATGGCTGTATAGAATTCTTTATATGGTAATAGTGGTTTTTAAGATTGTTTTCTATTTCTTACTATTATAAATAATGCTGTAGTATGTATCTTTGTATATATTTTTTTGTGTATGTCTGCAAATATTTCTATAGGACTGGTCCTTTGAAATGGTCCTATTTATTCATAATTCATAATTATGAATATAATTCATAATTTATTCCACTGAATGTTTTGCCTTTTCTTGACAACTTGTTGTTTTCTTGAGTATATTGTTTTTATTACTGCCATTCTATCTTAAAGTGATTTAAAATAGCTAATATTTATTGAGCATTAATTACATGCCAAGTGCTTTTATTATAAGTGTTTTGTATGGGGGTGTCTGAGTGGCTCAGTCAGTTAAGCATCTGACTCTTGATTTTGTCTCAGGTCATGATCTCAGGGTTGTGGGATTGAGCCCCACCTCAGGCTCCACACCCAGCGCAGAGTCTGCTTGTCCCTCTCCTTCTGCTCCTCCTCCTGCGCGCTCTCTCTTTCAAATAATTAAAAAATAAATAAATACGTGTTTTGTATGTAATACCTCATTTAACCTTTATAATAATCCTATGAGGGTAGATACTCATTAGTCCTGTTTTGCATTTGAAGAAGCTCAGGCTCAGGAAGGTGAAGTTACCTGCTTAAGGTGACAGAGCCAGTAAAGGGAGGGCCAGAATATGAACCTAGGCGGTCTGACTGCAGCCCTACTCTTAAGTACGCTGATTCCACCTTCCGTAAAACCTAAAGGTAAAGAACCTCTTGTATTTGGAAAGGAAGTAGGGACCTAGGGAGACAGTAGTCTTAATACACAGCTAGCTTTACGAGAAGAGGAACCCCAGGAAATGGAATAGTGACAACTTTGCCAAGAAAAATAGAATTGCTTAATCATGTGGGCCAGTGGCATGTCGACAGACACCCCAGGATATGTTGTTTAAGCTCTCGGAGGCTTCTTCAGTTCCCTGCTAAACTTGATTGCCTCTATACTCAATGGCCCCCAGCCTTCTGTGTGTTTGTTTTCTGGCCCTCATGTATAGATTTTTGCTCTTGTTAGTGTGCTTTGCTCCACTTCCCCACATGGCTGATGGGCTACTTTTATTTTGATGTGAGCTGGTAAACCATTTAACACTGTTAGAAGTAAGCTTAAGTGGGTTCTGAACAAGGCCCCTGGAGTTTCACCTTTTAGTAAAATATATGAGCTTTGGAGTTTGGATTGAGGACATCCCTGAATATCAGAATTGCAACATTTATTGATTGAGCCCACAAGTGCCAAACACAGTTTATTTTGGCTAGGTTTTAAGTGGGCAGGGTGTTGCGCTACTTACTTTACATGGTGGTGTTTAGTATAGGACAAGGGAGGGTTGAAGGGCAGTGTCTTATGCCTTTGGGAGACCACAGTACCATCATCTTAGCAGTTAAAGAATTTTATTTCCTTTACTGCCTCTTTCTTGTCATTTTGTTACAGAGGGAATTGAAAGAAGTCTACTGAGAAGTGATGAATTTGCTTTTTTTTCATAATTAAATATTATAAATGATGTGACTGCCGTGGATGACCAGTAGGGTGGACACTTTAAAAAAAAATAATTTCAAATTATTTTGAGTAAACTCATTTTGGGCCAATATAAACAGCTTTGCATTTTTATCAGGTCAATTAAATTATCACTGGAAATAATTTGTGAAGAAACAGTGTATTACTAGCAGAATTATATTTTACTTCTGTATAAAAGTTTGTGGTATAAGTATTGTGCAGAAGACCTGTTCATTGTTTCTTAATTTGATTGTTAAATTTTTTGGTCCCTCACCTTTCCACTTTAGGCTTACGATCAGCATTTAAATATGATATTGGGAGATGTGGAAGAAACTGTGACTACTATAGAAATTGATGAGGAAACATACGAAGAGATATATAAAGTAAGTCATGCAGTTCTGTTCCTCACTTTTAAAATGTCAATTGTTCTTAGTATCCAACAGCTTCTCACTACTTACAGGAAGCCTGTCATGATTTGATACCTAATTGGACTCAGTAAAGTATAGCAATCAAAAGCAAAAGCTTTGGGGTCAGACAGACCTGGTTTCCAGTCCTGGTGTGGCCACATCCTATCTGGGGTACCTTGGGCCAGGGAATTAACTTGGCAGATTTAATTTCCTCATTCTTAAGCAGGAATACTACCACTTACTTCATAGGGTTACCAGTATTCATGGATACATGTGAGTGTAAGATGCCTATGTGTGCTAATATATGAGTAATGCTGGACAGTGTTCTTATGTTTGATGTGGATCTGAGCTGTCAATAATAAAAACTAAAACTGAGAAATTCTAAAAATACTCCTTAAAAGTAATAGTAAGCCTATTACATGTTAATGTAAGTAACATTCTTATTAACAATAACTACTAAAACAAAATGG